TTAGCTTTTATCCAATAACATTTACAAGAGGATATACTGTGAAATATTTGATTTCTTAAATATCTTAAATTACAACTTCACATTTACACCTAGATTGTATATTCTTTTCAAAGGGATATATCGTTTTTCTTCTATTTTGATATATATTTTAAATATTTTGTACACATTTCTTACCCTACCTAATTCAAATAAGAAATACCATCCTTATTATAATCAATATATTATTAGTATTTACAATTAAGTTCTTTCTTAGCTCTTAGCTCCTTTTTTCCCAGAGGAGCTAAAGATGCTAGGGTGCTATAAATGCTAATGCTGGTGATGAACGGCTTTAGAACAACAACGGCTGAAACTTTCATTTTATGACCAGACTGGGTTCAAAGGAGTCTTTAGGGTTAAGTATGTAATCACTGGATTGTCAACAGCTCCTGCTCTGACACTGCCAATTCACACGAAATACTTCGGTTTTCCTCTTTTCATTTGGGTTCATGTGTAAATTCTGAGGTGTGGTTTCTGATGAATTCCGAGGTATGATATACAGTATACACCAGGGCATGAACGTGTATAAATTCTGAGGTGTGGTTTCTCATGAATTCCGAGGTATGATATATACACCAGGGCATGAGAGAAATTGCAGACAACAGTAATTCACAATAAGCTAACTGCATGTGAAAGGCGTTCACACATAAAGTCGTGGAAAGGCTAAGAAATCCAGGAAACAGTCTCACACTGAACAGGTCACACCCTCATGTTAAACGCACGTTTAATGCAATCTGACAAAAGAGCCAGAAGAGAGGAACATAATAAAACCAGTGCCCTTGTTTCTATTTTAGGTCACATGACTGCAGGTGTTTCAGGTGTCAAAAACGGATTCTCTTCTTCGTCTCCACATTGTTTTTCAGTAAACACCTGTGCAGCGTGAGAGAGAAGACGCCACGTGAGCAACAGAAGCAGGGACAGATTTCGTGTCCCTCTCCTTCTTTCTGCAAGTGTAACATGACTATGGAAAAGTAAGGTGACACTGTAAAGCCAGCCTTTCTCACCTGCTAAACGGCTGAGAATGAACACAGACATAATAACCATGGAACAGCGGCGCGATGCTTAGGGTGAGGTCTGGAACTGGGACAAACCGGTCTGATGGCAAGGCCTTCAGTTTAAAAAAAAATGCTGTTTGCCAATAGCAGTAAATGTGTGAGCAGTGAGACAGGAGCATACAGTAATCCCAGCCCAAACTTCTATTATTGCTGCTAAATATTAAATATTGCAATATTATACCAGGGTCTAAAATTATTGTAAGAAATTCATTGTTTACCCACGTGCATTCTATCGTTTAATTAATTCATTTTCATAACACGTCACGTGTGCAACAAAGGCTGTATGTATGCCAAGGATTGTGTGCTTTGTGCTTGTTAATTAACTTAGCTATGAAATAAAGGGGTCAAAGTATCAGAGTATTTTTTTTGCTTTGCTATGCTTAGCCCCCAGGGTGTGGTGACAATAAAAAACACCCCTAGTTGCGAAACACTGTGACATTTCACTTCAATTCAGACATAGCTAACTACCACGCTAACTTAACTAGTTAACAGTACTTTCCCTAACGACTGATCTGTCATTCATATATTCTTCATATATCATATGATCTATCATTCTTTAGCTAACTATCTGAATAGCCTCAGCGAGCTGCCTGAATATCTGAAATATTTAAAGGTTTAAATGCAGCCACTGCTACGTGACATCCCAGAATCTTTTAACAACCAGATGTCTTAGCTCATTTCTAAGGAAAAAGTATCTGCGTCAAGAAAGCTTGAGTTACAGCCAAAAGCCTTTGGGTTGCAGCTGAAACTGGTCCAACTGCTCTTCAAACCAGGACACTCTGGTCGGGTCAGGTGGTGTTTTGTAAATGTGTGAAAAGCTGAGAGCGGGAGAAACAGACAGACGGATGGACAGAGGGGAAAAGAGAGAGGTTCAAGAACAAATCCAGGCACACAAGGTCAAAACAGTGTTTACTCTCCTTGTGCGTTACATTTTCCTGGAAAACTAATGGTTTGTCTGTGTTCCAGGTAAATTATGTTTGAATAATAAACAATTTTTTCATGAACATGAAAAGTAAGTCTAATGAAGAATGTCAAAGGTTAGTAGGTAATAATTTCCTAGTGGCTTCAAAAATGTATTTCTTGGTAACAAACTTATCTACTTTAGACTCTACACCAGTGGTTCTCAAAACACGGTATGCATTCAACTGTTGGTTCACGGTTTCCTTCGGTGGAATAGCAGTATATATATTCATTTATTTGTATATATATATATATAATTTTTTAAGTGTACTTGTGATACAGCATATGTTTACAAGTAAAGCGAGGCTTGGGTTCATAAAAAGGCTAATGTTCCTCTTAGGTATTTACTCTTCCACAGCAGGCCTCCCCTGCTGTTTTTGATGGTGGCATTTGGCGTATCAAATACTTTCGCAAGTGGTACGGGTTGTAAAAAGTTTGAGATTCACTGGTCTTTATAAAAAGCTTGAAACTCAAGTTAGTCCAGTTACATACTTTCAGTTGTAAAGAGTGTTAATATTTACTGATAATCCCCTTCACAACTATCAGGTTAAACAACTGCTCCTGACCTCACTCTGCCTGGCTGTGACTCCACTTTATGTCCATGAAATGATTTGTGGTAAAAAAAAAACAAAAAAAAACTGGGACTCTGGGAGATAAGCTCTTCCTCTTTTTTGACGTTTAAATAGAAGTTGATGTATTTGCAAGGTGACACAACTGACTCACAATAGATTTGACCTTTACACATACACAGGCCATGAGTGGTATTTCAGCTGACGCCTGTGCTGCCTTCAAAGGTACAGTTGTAGTATTCAAGAAGTACCAAGACTCAAACTTAATCATCAGTTTTCAGGACTTGTTACACAACTTATGATGACTCTAATTGTACTTCCTCATACTGTGCTTTAGCCCCTCCCCTTCTGTTATGCAATCACACACAGTCATTTTTTCTCAGGTATGAAGGTAGACAGAAGTGTCAGCACTAACTAGTTGTCCAGACTGAGATTGTCTTGTGGCAGGACGTCTACGTGTTAAGCAAGAACCAAAGACTCTCTCATTCCTGCGCTCAAGCCTGAGGAGGGTGCGGTTCAAATCCCGCAAGACTGATGTATAACGAGAAACAACCACAACACTGACAGCCTACAGCGCATGTGTCAAACTGACTGGTCAACCAGTACCACCCGTTACTACAGATGGGTACCAAGGTGCTGAGCACTGAAGGATCATTAAATTTTCAAAATAAATCATCTTTTAGACTCTATTCTGTTTGTACCAGAGGCTGAATGACATTATTCTAAAATATTGCCAGATTATCTTTAAATAAAGAAAGTAAATGGTTATGACTGGACTTTCTTTGAATGGAGTAAATTAGTAAAAATTAATACATTTTTTCACTGTGTCCCAGTACCAAATGATCTATGGACTGGTACTGGTCTGCTGACCGGGGGTTGGGGACCCCTGATTTATACAGTCATTTACAACCGGCCCTTCAACGGGAACTGTATCGATGATGTGGCCCCTGGTGAGTTTGACATCTACAGCTACAGATCATGATAGATTTTAATCTGTTCTAAGAGAATAAAAATGAATCTTTTGAGGTTGCAGACCCTTGGATTAGATCATCCCAATGTAGATTAGGAGACAATGTCTCTAAAATCTTGACAACTAAAGGCACAGGACACATACTTATAGATATACCCACTTTATTCTCCCTTGTCAACAGCAGGCTGCCTCATCAGACTGGACAAACCTTCAAGCCCAAATGGGCAGCAGTTGCCTGTAACCCACATATGGGCAACTTGCAAGAGACCCATTTGGAACCCATGGGCTAAGCCATATGGTTTTTAGCCTAAAGGGTAATTTGCAGCCTCAAAGGTCATTCTCTCTTATTCAAATGCTCATCAGAAACAGGGAGAAAAGATCCCACTGATGCATCCACACCTCCCCCTCTCCCCAAATCACCAGATCAGATTGGGCACATCTGTGAGTGAGTAACACTCATCTTAAAAAAAAAAAAAAAGGATTATTTCACACTACATTAGGTGTTGATGGGCCGAGGGGGGCTTTCCAAAAACAATAGGCTGTCAGTGTTGGGCCGTCTTTATTTTCTCTGTCTCTTCTCACATTCTCATGCTGCCTTCAGGGTTGCTCTCGTTCTGTCTCCCACATATGGAACAATGCAGCTCATTAAAATTCATTCGCTCTTCATCCGAAGAACAGACGCTCAGAATCTGTCTCCTCCACTCTTGCCCGCACTGGAATCCCAAACGCCGTCCTCCGCCCCCACACGTCCCCGAGTCCAAAGGACAAGAGGACAGTGGTTTTCCTCAGAGAGCAGTCGCCGCAGCACAGAGACACTTTTGTCTCATCATTTTTGCGTTGTGACTGGTCTGCTTGTGCAGTTATATTTTATTCAACAGCCAAGACACTCCTCGGAGGACAGAGTCAACCAGGCAGCCACAGTGAATAGTTTAGCCATGAAAACACGTCGGGCAACAACTTTCTTGCTTTGTTGTTTTGCCCCCCCACCAACCCCTGAAAAGGACACAGGCCAATATCAACTGCACACTTCAACAAACAGGTGGGGTGTAAATGTCTCAACCTTTCTGAGGAGAAAGGTGAGGTACAACAATATTACACAAGGACTGCAGTTGAGTCACAAACAAAATGGTTTAAGGAAAGTGAACTAGTCGTCATTTTGACACAGAACCAAATGTGACTTCTGCTGTTTTCTATTGAACTGCACCTATTGAATAAATATAATAGAAATCTGAGAGCAGACCATTTTAACTCAGAGTAGCCTGTGAAGTTAAATTCAATGATTGACGATTAATCATGATTAATCCAAAGCCACCCTGTTAATAATCAGATTCTAATTTTTTTTTTATAGTTTGATATGGAAATCAACAGTTATCTAACGTCAGCACAGTCAAAGAAGAAAACAACATGTACAATACATGCGAAAAATTTATTTACAAATAGGAAAGCTTAAAACACGTGACTGGCCTATGAAGAACCAACTGTTAAAAAAGTGTCCTAAAAACAATATTTACCTGTGTCAAAAAATATATATATATCTATTCGTCAAATAGTGAGCTATGTTTGTCAGGGAATATAAAGATATTTGTTTAGAAAATTATTCTTAATGATTCAAGGCAATGATAAAAGTTGATTATGTAAATTTCAGAAAAGTAGCAGCAAAACTGCAATGTTTAGATTTTTTTGTTTAAACAAAGGATTATTTAAGTTTAACCACAATATAGATACAGTTTTAACTGTGTTAATACTTTTACCTTTTTACTAAAAACTGCTACAGTTCCCACCTACCTGGTCTTTTTATACAAATGTACATTATATTTATATATATTTATATATATATATATATATGTTGGCATTCCACAAAAATGTACAAAACAGTATACAACTAGGTAATATATAATGTATAGACTTTTTTTTTTTTTACAATATAGCATCTCTTAGCCTCCAAATGAAATGACAGATGAAGGCTTGTTACAAATGAACGTGCGTTCCTGAAGTTTATATCCTGTGCTCTACGTTTTTGCCAGTGGCTTTCTATCTAGTGAACACTCACCGGTTACAATCATGTATTTAGCTAAAATAACAATAAAATGTTTTTTTGTTTTTTTTAAAGGGCCATAAAATTAGTTTTGTAAAAACAAAAGCTACAAGGCGGTGAGAGACACCATGTCCGGATCTTCCCAAGTCGTCCCAGACAAGTCCTCGTCCTCCACTGCTTTTCTGTAAATAGTACTGCTGTCCTACTGTTAACCTCCAAATGTCTCCAAGAAAAGTCTACTGTTCCTGGTTCAAATCTCTGCATGGCTAGAAGGAAAGACGTACGCCGTCCTGTGTTTTCAAGTTCTTGTTTTTTTGTTTTTTTTTTTTTTTTTTAAACCAACCCCTGATGTTGCATCACTGGCAGGCCTGCTGCACTTGACTGATCAGTTCTCCGAAGCGATCAAACAGCCCTTCCACCCAAGCTCCGTTCTGCAGACACTTCTGCACAGTTTCCTCCTGACCCAGGTCACCCGTCTGCACCCTGAGGGATGCAATCTGGTAAAACACAAGCCCACGTGGGAGATATCCATTACGGATTTGGCAAAACATTTACAACGCAGAAAAACAGACACTTCTGAAGACTGAAGAAATCTTAGGTTTTCTATCAGAGACTATCTGAACAGATTTTAAGCAGAGTAGACATTGAGACTCAGGCATTAAAAAAAAGGAATAAAGAAAGAATATATATTTATGTACACTCATATGTATACCTATCATGTATATATTTTACATACTGTATATGTACACATATATAAATATACATACACAAACTGTGTGTGCCTGAGGATATGTTTGTATATATGCTTAGATATAGAACTGTACACGTTTTTAAGTATATAACACTAAAAATCAAATGCCGATCCCTGAATCAGATCAAGAACCGATTCCTCACCTCGTCTTTACACATGAGGTATGTGTGGTATTTGTAATGCTGCAGAGAGTGGTACAAAGAAAACCATTGCGTTTTTTGCTGGTCCACTGTATACTCCTGGAAAAGAAGAGCAGAGGTCAGGAGGTCCGAAGATGACAGGCGAAACAAGGAACACAGTGCCCTCTAGTGACCAATGGCAACAGCACAAAGAATGAAATTTGTGAAGAATTTGTCGGACATGCCCTACAGTAAACGTCATACTAGCTGTTGTTTATTAACTACCAGACACATATTCTCAGTGACTGAACTCTGGTGTGACCAGGGCAGATTTGTGTTCTCACCTGTGGCACTTTGTTGTTCATCTTGTAAGGCTTCATGGTCTTCTTGTTGTAGGCCTTCCCACTCAGTCGCACCTTGAAGGCCGGGGTTTCTCCGTCCTTCTTCAGTTCTGTCACCACTGAGATCTCTGGGAAGCTGTCAAGGGCCGTCTGAAGACACAGATTAGACACAGTACGATGTTGACATGCAGGCAGACAGATTCACCATTCATCTGAATAAAACTGACCAACATTTAAAACAACATTTCCTTTTGTACTTTTCAGAATCTTTTAAACATTTGCTAAATGTTTGTCTTAACCACACCCACCTTGAGGACCTGACCTATGTGCAGTTTGTGGAGCAGCCGTTTCCTGTTGTCAGTGATCAGCCCTTCCACTCTTTTCATATGTGGAAGCAGCAACTCGTCTAAAGCACAAAGGTCAGATTAGTCTCACTGTTGCAAAACTATAAACCTCATATTTAAAAATAAATAAATAAAAAACCCACGCCACTCACCATTGGCCCTCTCCAACGCTGTCATCACATCTTCGTCTAAGGCAACACTAATCAGCAGCTCTACAAAACTCCTGAACGTCTCCTTCATGTGTCGTGTGTTGAGAACTCGTAGATTTAACAGCCCTGAAGGGTTGGACCCTGAGAGAGAGAGAGAGGAGAAATCAACAAATCAATATTGATAAAAAATAAAATGTCAATGATAGATGACATAGATATATCACAAAAAAGTTCTTTTCACCATTATCTTCTGCACCTTCCTCTGCAGATGAAGCAGATGGAGCAGGGGAAAACTCTTCCTTCCACTTCTTCCTCTTCTTAGGCGGAGGCTCCGCCTTTGGTTTAGGGTGTTTGGGTCGAGCCTTTTGGCTCTGGCTGATTGGTGAAGTATTGGCGGTCAGGCCCAGCAGGGTCTTCACCTGAACTCCCCTGGGTGGTAAAACATGGCAGACAAAGTAAAACCACTGAAGTTGTTCACTGGGTCAAACAAAATAAAAATAAAACGACTACACCTGCGGGAGCCTACCTCAGGGAGTTCATGGGTTTGCATCGAGGTTTCCGACTACAAACACGGACGTATTCCCTTTTGTTGACTGTGTCCAAGAATTTCACGTAGACACGCTGGTACATGGTTTTTGCATCACCGAAGTATCCAAGATACTGCATATGTGAAGACAATGACTAAATGAATAAATGCAGTAAGACACACAAACACATATATATACATATATACAAATATATATACGACATATTCATACATACAAATATTCATGTAGGTACATATATTCATACATACATATATTCATGTAGGTATACATATATACATACATGTATACATATTAAAAAGAGACGTGTTTACATGTCTGTGTTGTGTAAAACTGAAAAAAATCAGACATTTTTGAAGTTTATTATTTCTGTTTTAGAACTTTTTGACTTACTCCGACATGTGTATTGTCATGTGTTTTTTTTTTTTTTTTTTTTACTTACACTGTTTGTAGCTGAGAAAACTCTCTTCCCATCTCTGAGCTCAGGCACAAACTTCTGCAGCAGAGCCTTCTGGACTTTCCAGATGGCAGGAGGCTCAGCCCCAGATGTCATGGTCACCTGGACACAGGTTCAAAGTCCAAAGCAGATTAAGTTTCAGGAAAAAAAAGGGAAGCAGTTTTTGCACAAGACAAACTATAAACACTGCTTGAATATTTTGAATATCACTAGTACCTTTAAACCTTCAATATCCTCAATTCTGACCACAAACTCGTCTCTCTCCCGGTACATTCCCTCTCCCCCGCTGTCAGACAGTTCTTCATCAGTCAGTCCCTCTATAGCCACACTCATCAGCTGCATGGCGGCCATGTCTGGTGCGTCCTCTTTAGTGTCCTCTGTGGCAGCAACTGTAGATCCTCCGGTGACCATGGCTGTGGTTTGTGGAGTGATAAGCGGTGGGAAAAGTGTCTCTTTTATTGCAGGTGGCACAATGGCCACATGGTGTGGTTTCATGATCAAACCAGGGACCTGGATGTCTGGCAACAAGAGGAAATGTAGGTTACAGAAAAACACATCTTTAAAATGAAACCAACTGCACTAAACATCTTGTTTTCCTACCACAGCTGCCAAGTCTGGCTAGAAAATACTGACACCTGCAGAGGTGTTTTTCTGTGCTTGTACAGAAAGTCAAGTTGCTTGCTTTAGCTAACTCCTGTTTGACATGACATAACAGGCAATGAGGCAACGTCATTAATGACTAGCCTTTGATTGGCTAATACTCACATGTTCAGTGACAAACAAAAATAATTTGTGGTCCGATGAACGAACTTATGGCTTGCGTCAGAGCAGCCTCACTGAACGTGACAAGCTGAGACGATTGCCAGATGGAGTGCAGAGGTTTTGAAACCAACTCCTGACGCATTCTAGAAGCCACCACTAAGACGCACCGTAATGACTTTAATTCACCAACTCTATGGATTTTTTTTTTTACATACATCTCTTGACATTTCTTTTTTAACAAATCCATCATTTCCATTAGTCAGAGAAAAAGAAACAGGTGTGAAACACACATCTATCTGCTTTTATTTGTCTTCAGTAATATCATGTTTACAAGTGTTGATCAATCAAGATTATTTATGATTAATCATGAGTAATCACAATAATTCAGCAGCTGCCCTCTGCTTTGACAGCCCTAGTGAAAAAAGTCTAACAAAGAGTGGGAAAAGGGACGAAATTGGTCGGCTGGATCAAGTATGTGGTTTGCAGAAGTTTTAAGTCTGAATTTCTCACATCATGCTTGTTTAAAAAAGAACAACATATGTCAGTTCTTCATAAGTATAAACACTGGTTGTTACCTGTTCGTGTTTTCTTTTCTGAAGAGTCGTCCAGAGATGACAGTGCTGAGCTGATGCTGTTCCTCAGGGCCTGGTTCTTTCCAGTGTTCTCCTCTTCGTCTGAGCTGAAGGACGGGAGCGTCTCCAAGTTTTTCTGCAGCTCTTCATTCAGACGTTTCTGCTGAGAGGTCACTAATGGACTTTCCTGGGAAATCACAGGCACTGGCAGACTCTGCACTTTGGGTGGCAAAGGTGGCAGAGTATAAGAAGGTGGTTTGGACAGGGTGACCACCTTTTTGGGTCGGCTTATAGTTCTTGTGGGACTCGGCGAGAACTGCTGCTTGGGGCCAGACTTTATGAAGTCCAGGAAGGAGCCGATGAAGCCAGTTTTGATCTCCGGTTGTTTTTCTTCAACTTCACGGAGCTTCTGCCTGATCCTCTCCTGCTGTGGACAACCATCATATACACTTTGGGAAGAAGAAGATGGTGAGCCGACATCACCAACCCTGTTGTTCATGTGCTTGGTTTGACCGTTGCGCTTGGCCGCTCTGGCCTGTCCACTGTCCTCCTTAGAACCAATGGATTTACTTTTGGAGCGAGCCTTCTTTTTGGGGAACTCTTCTCCACTGTCGTCCTCTGTTTTGATACATTTGACACTTGCATTAACTCTCCCCTGCAGATGGGAGGGGTCATACACTTGCCCACTTAGGTGATAATCGGCGTCAGAGCTTCGTCTTTCTCCGTTGGCGTTGATTTCAGAACCACTGCTGTGGTGAACAGACTGAGGGTCCGTAGCCATCTGTGGTCCATTTAGTGTCATGGTCAACGTGTGAGCGTTAGTGTTGGTGATGATTTGCTGTTGTGCTGCAGCAGAGAAGTTTGTTGACATGCTGTTCATTTCCACAGTCTGGTAGTGGCCCTTCGAATCCGAGAGACTTGTCATGACCGCCATCTCTGCCTCGGCGGTTGACGCGGCTTTGACAAAGTCTTGTGGTGTGACACCACAGGCTGCGACAGTGGCAGCTAGAATGTCGTCAACATTCGACAAAATATTTCGGTCATCTCCGAGTAGCATGGAGTCAGGGAAGCAAATGGAGTTGAGAGTGAACTGGTTCTTGGCATCGTTGGAATGCTGATTGGCCGAATGGCTGTAATGGTGTTTAGCAGCATCAGAACATCCTGAGTTCTGCTCAGACACCACTGCCACCTGCTGACTGTGGGTTTCCGTGACAGTGGGACCAAGTAGTTCTCGATACTGGACAGGAACAGGGCTCAAGCCCCGAGACATCTTTGAAGGGTTCTGACCTTGGTGGACGATGGACTGCTGAAGCAGAATCATCTGACTGGGCTCTAGAAGAACTTGACTGCTGGGGACTGTGATAAACTGAGTGGCGGCTACCGAGGTCTGGCTTTGGGACTGAGTTTGATTCTGGTGGTTTTGTTGATGTGGCTCTGAGGATTTGAGCTGGAGAGAGTGCTGCTTCAGTTGATCTGCGCTCAGACCATGGGAAGATATAATACTGGAGTTGGCAGATTTTAAACCTACACTGTCTTTATCACTGCTCAAATAAATATGGTGTTGGCTCAAAGAACCCATTCTTTCATTCTTTATCTGTTCTGTGTGCGCATGAGTCAGACCCACAAGCTGGTCATCGGACCGTGAATTGCTTCGTATAACACTTTGCATTTTGTGATGTTCGTCCATTTTTGAAACAACATAGATGACATTGTGGCCTAGAATATTATGATCTGCTGCAGAACCCTCCATAGCTGCCTGCTGAAGAGCCTCTAGGTCCTGCATCGGAAGCTCTTCCAGTTTCTGTTTGCTATACGTTGGCTTTATGTCCGACACGGAACATCTGATGTTGTTTTGTAAGGTTTGACCAGCTAAAGAATATGTTGGCTGCGGCGCAGGAAAAACATATTTTTGTGGCTGTGTGTGTTCCTGGGACAGTGCGTCATTTGCTTTACCTCCTGCTGAGGTTTGCATGAGGTTGTAGTCCTGTGTTGAATTGGATGCAGGCAGACTCCTCACACATGTGGCTGCGTAAGAGGAGTTCAGGGATTGATTAAGGGATTGTCCTGTAGCGTAGCTCTGAGTCACAGAGGCATGCTCCTGTGACTCGGATGAAAACGTCACATTTGGAGTACCCTGAGAGTGAGAAGAGGGGTAACTGTCGGAGAGATTACCCTGACACAAGCTCTGGCCCTGGGCTCTATAATGAACCTCCTGCTCCTGGCTAAAGCCAGGACTGGTGGAGGAAACAAGGGTTTGACTAACAGTTGCCACATTGGGAGATTGGCTGGGGAGGGCGGGCATAGTCTTGTAGAGAGATGAAGTGGAGCTGGAGGGCGATGACTGTGTCTCAGCAGTAACATAGGACTGAGACAGACTGCTAGACATGAGGTTGGACAAGTGAAGTGACTGCTGATTGGAAATCACTGGGTTCTGGTTCTGGCCTGGGGAAGAATATTGCTCGGGAGACTCACCTGACAGGCTCCGAGTGTGGCTGTGGTTCTCCTCACCTCCAGGTGGGTGAGGGGCCACTTTGCCAGAGCCGTCTCTGTCCTTTGGCACAGTAATGGTGGAAAACGTCTGAGTAACTGTGTCCGTTTTGAGTTGTGAAGCCCTGTTGACCCCTTGAGATGAATTCACTGTTGGTGGGCTACAGGATACTTGACTCTGATGGGAGGGGTCCTGTTGGTAGGACACATCAGCTTCAGAGCCAGAGCCAAAATAGCCCGGTAAGGAGTGTTCTGATGTGGACATCTGCTCTGAGGCTGCGTGGCTACTGGAAGGCCTCTGGTGGTGTTTGATCACACTACATTCACGTTGAAGAGCTCTTTCAATAGAACCTGAAAATACTGTGGTTGCATATGGCTGTGGGGCACTATGAGGAGCAGGGAGGGCAGAAGGGAGCAGACTGAACTGGGGTTGTAGCAGGTGTGGGGCTGACTCCTGGGCTGAGCGGTAAGTGGACGACTGGACAGGTAGTGTAGAGCCCAGAGTAGGGCAAGACAAAGGATTGAAGGCAAGGGCAGTGGGAAGTACGGTCTGGCTAGATTTGAGATGCAGGAGGGGGTCGTGATGAGAAAAAAGGCCATTGCTGGAAGTGCTGAAGGCTGGGTCCTGGAGAGACAAAGAAGGGTTGGTAGTGTAACTCCTGGAGGGGTAGGCACCGGTGTGTTGGTAGGTGGACAAAGCAGCGGGCGAAGGAAAAGTGGCTGTGGAAGGCAGAGCACCAGTCAAGTAGAGTTCTGTGGTGGAAGAGTTTGTACCTGTTTCAAAGGAAAGACCACATTAAAAACAGAACCCTGTACATTAATACTACAGCATTAGAGTGTGTAGTTTTTAAGGTAATCCCATTTAGAAAAAAAAATGTACCCAATGGTGTTCTACTACTTATGTCTACTTATGTTCCTGCTAAAGACAGATAAAAAAAAATACTAGGAGACTCACAAACAGGCCATGACGGTGGTCTATATGAAGACAGCAGTGAGGCACTAACAGGACCAGCCTGAAGGCTCCTGGACTCCATGGCTGACAGGAAGCTCATGATTGAGCTCTCAGAACTGTTGCTGTTTGAGTCAAGAGTCCCTGAAAGGAGAATCATGAGACAAATAAATACAACCGTAGTTTTTCACTTAATCTTGGTGTATTGTATTTGTGAAGAAAGATTAAGAAGATTGAAGTGCAGGTCACAATGAGCACAGCGTAAATTACTCACCTGCTGCAGCAGGAGGGTGTGATGTAGTGTAGGGAGGAAGCTGGTGGATGGAGGAGAAGCTCTGCCGCGAGAGAAGCTCTGCGTCGATATTTGTCGCAACATAACTGGAACTAAAGCAACACAAAAAACAAAACAGCAATATTTCGTTATTTTTACTATATACTATATATCACTATATTCATTTTTTTATCCCTTAACTGGCTGGTCCACAAACTTTTACTGGAGTACTGTACTGTCAAGCCCGGGCCCCATGTCGCCATCTTCATAGATACAACTTCAAAAGTCAGTTGTAGCTTAATTTGTTTTTTTTACGCAATACTGCAGTACCAATGACATAATAATGCCCTCTCATTTCCCCCGCCCCTTGGTTTGGAAATCACTGAACGAAAATATAAATCCTACACCCTTGGTTTGGAAATCACTGAACGAAATTATAAATCCTACAATGAACAAAATAGTATATGTCAATAGATCAGGTCACACACCAATCTGCTGTATTTATTCCGTGAATTTCCCCTGCGTGGGATCAATACAGTTCATATAATAATCATTATTAATAACATAAGTCAGCAGTCTGAGTTAAAGATGCAATGCTTAAAATAAATACAGAGTTTAAGAAGTGGTGATCCACGCACCATCTCGTTTTTAAAGCATGAACCATTGATGAATGCTTAAAATAAATACAGAGTTTAAGCTGTGATTTTAAGAAGTGGTGATCCACGCACAATCTCGTTTTTAAAGCCTCTGAACCTCTGCTGCGTTTATGTCTACCATGTAGCTACTATGGCTAATTAAGAAACCATTCTCACTATGATACTCGTATGGCATTTTTAGGTTTTTATTTTCTTCTGTCCTACTTTTTTGGGAATGTGCAGCAGGCATAAACCTTAACATTCGTTAACGTTAAAACGAGCGTTTCAAACGTGTGTTGACTGGTGTGTTTTAAAATGTTGTCATTATCCAGACAGAGTTAATGAGCTTACATTACTCTAATACAAAGTTCAACATCTATCGGGGTTTTGGTCAGTTTGGGCAACGTTTTCTGATTTTGCACACACTGCTCTTTACTTTGTCGTCTTGGGAAATTTAAAAGTAAAACAAAAACACTGTGGTGGTTCTGAAATTTTACCGACAAGAACAGTGGCAGAAAAATGCGTAGAATTTGACACGTCGTCTAAAAATATCAGTAGTCGAGACTCAGTGATTTGATAAGTGATTAGCATTGGAGCTAGCGGTTACCTATGTTGTTTATGGTTTAAATGAGCACCTGTAGGTCCGGAACACGGAGCGAAAAAACGTTAGTTTGAGATGAATTCAATGGTTTAAGTTATTAAAAATGTGAAATCAAATGTTTCTGTTGTTTGCACTGACTGTTCGTCATCACGCTGAGGTGAAAAGAAGGGAAAACGTGCTAACGTAAACTAGCCAAGGTAGAATGCAGGGACTATCCTTTAAGAAACATTGACAACTCAAAAGCGTCACAAAGTCCATGCAAATCCCACACATTTCCCCGCGGTCAACTTCGCGGAGCAGAGCCTGGGCTGTGATTTTGAGTTTATTGTCAATTCTCCGTAAAGGTAAGTCACCCACTGACTCCCCCCTTCCTCCATCTCTTACCTCGGTTTGATAGTCGCTGAGCTGCGGTCATAGGCCCACGAAGCTACGGTGTGTGCTGGTGAAGCCAGCGCGTCCGCGAAGCTGGAAGTCGGGTAAATCCTGTCCATCATCCGGTGAAGGATTCACTTCCCCGGCGGAGCTTCGTGGAGCAGTGGGCACACATGGTAGCAGCAAGGTCCGGGTCCCGTGGCTACAGTTCGGCTGCAATATTTTGGATAAAATGTGCCGTTTTCCCTCCTCCTTCTTCCTAGTGGTTAATTGTTGTTCATCTCCCGTCATGTGGAGCAGTGAAAAGCCTGCATGCTTTCACGTCCCCATATTAGTTGGTTTTCCCAGGATGCACCGCAGACACTTTGGCTACAAGTTTTCTGACTTGTTCTTCCCTCCACCCACAAAAGTCTACCTTCAAACCACTGATACGAAATGGTTCGAATCCCACTATTTACATGTTGGTGTGGCCCTGATTTGCTTGACTCGAGAACGCCTGTACACTATTACTGTGTGATAACAATAATAATAACAATAATAATAAAATTATTATTATTATTGTTATTATTATTATTAAACTGAGGCAAAACCCTTATATTTCAAAATCAAAACCCAACACCCAATATTCTGTGAGGCTGTACACCTCCACCAATAATAATGTAATTATAGCACACATTTATTAAAACAGATTTCACAGATGTAAAACTCAAAGAAAGTTAATACATTTTTAATTAAATTCAAATAAATACAACCAGAATGTTGTATTTCATTCAGTCATTCCATTTTATTGACATGTTAGATATGCATTATCTAATAATATTGTAACAACGGTTATTTCAATATATTTTCTCATATTATCACACTTATTCTGAGGCATGTATCATGCATTATCTAATAATATTGTAACAACTGTTATTTCAATATATTTTCACACTTATTCTGATGCATGTATCATAAATGTCAACATGTTACAAATAAATTATGGATGTTAACATGTAGATCTGAGATGATTTGGAATAATGCATTGTAATGGACCAGACAAAACTCAGGTTTTTGCATCAACAGCAACATTTTATTTAAACATGACTAAAAAAAAAAAGGTCTAAAAGATACACTGTCATGTAAACAGCACTTTATGGTCTAGGTTTAGCTGTTGAGTTTTTCAGATGTACACTGGTTTAATACATGGTTTAATAAACTCAATGTATATAATACAGTATATCCATATAATTTTATATATGAACTTCTTTGGCAATCAATCATGAAATGCATTTGAAAATGTATTAACTGCATATTTCCAGTTTGAAGGGTATCTTGGGTTTTGCGGTAGTGAGAGTTTAACAGATAATGAGAAACTGTCTTCATATTGGTGTTAACAAACAGTAGAACTGTGTGGCAACATTACAGTTCAGATAAAGGTGAAAATACATCATTTTTAAATCAGCATCTCACAGACAACTGACTGGAAATACTGTATACTGGTGACACGAGGACAGTTCAACAGAGGCCGTGCACTGTGTTACACAACTGGTGCTAATGTGAATATCCACAGGCTTCCCATCCAGGAAACATCTTAATCCTTCTGTGAAGATGACCTGATGTTAAATGTAGGATAAAAACATTTCAGTAATTCCAAAATCATTCAAAAATGAGCAATTACAGCAGTACATTTGAACAGTCAAGACTTCAAAGCTAACTTTTTTTTTAATTATTGAAGATTGTTGTTTATGATAAAGTGTCATGGCAACTAAATAACTTTAGAGAGGCGTAGCACCCAAAGAACACCGTCCCCACTATAAAACACAGAACATAATGCTATGGGGATGTGTCTTTGTTTTCAGAACACTGGATCGTGTGAAAAAAAAACCTTTGAAGATGTGAGAGTGATAGAATTTTTTAAAAAGAAAATCTCAAGTATACATTTTTTTATCTTCCATCATGACAATGGCTGAAAGAGTACTTCAAAACAGGTATGGAAGTGCAGCAACCCAGAAGGTCAAAGTGAGGACAGGGACTGGTCTGGTTCACAGGACCCTGACTATATGAAAAACCTGAAAAGACCTCAAAAAACTATCACACCTGGAGACGCTTGACACATTCACCAAAGAAGAAAAAGATTAAAGGACCTCAAGAGATGCATGAAACTTTCTATGAACCTCCACCAACCACTACAGTCTGTTATTCAACAAACTGATGCAAAATTAACTAGAATGTTCTGGGTGCCTATAATGTTTACCTCCTAAGTTTTTTTTTTTTGGGGGGGGGTGTAGGGGGGTGGTATGCTACGTAAAGTACCTTGCTCAGAAATATGGTATTAAAAAAACCCCACAAATTTCTATAATAAAGCAAGTAGAAATACTTTAAAAGTGATGAAATTTTCTTCCGTCCATTTTGAATTCCAACAAATGAGCTTGATTACATACATGAACTGACTGTTGCACTGCGGTTGTACAGTAAAGTACCCTGAGATCGGCCTCCGTTGCCCGTACATTAGTTTACCAACCTCCTTCTCTCAGATCAAGCAAAACCCTTACATTTTAAAATAGTTCATCTAACACAGAGACTTTAACACACTGGTGCACCAAATACACATTACACTGAAACGAGCGAGTCAGCTATTAAAACGCTTAGAATATTGAATGTATAGTTCCTTCAATAGGAGACAGGAAACCATCAGTCTGTCTCAGTGAAAACCATTAATACTTGAAGTCATAAAACACCTTTCACTCAGTGCGGTGATGTTGGAGAACCAGAATTCTCTCTCGGCTAAAATGCTCTTCTCCTTCGATACAATATTGATTTTTCATTATTGTTGATGATTGAACAAAGCAGCAGATGTTTTTTTTTTGTTTTATATAAAATTATCTTCTTATCTACAAACAGGGATTGGAATTCTGGCACGGGCACTTCATAAAAAAAACCCCAAAACAACAAGAAGAAGACATTACACCAGCAGGTCAGAAAGGCTTCAAACAAACAGTCTAATAAGCAATAAACAAAAGGCACTTAAATCCTGTGTTGTGTTTTTAAAGGTACAGCAGAGACAGACTGTCTACTGCCCAGTCCTGAAGCCACTACCGTCTTAAACTTCCATGCCGTGAGCTGAAAAAGAAAAGAAAACCAAAACAAAACATAAGTGTTACCAGCCAGGGTGAGGTCAGTGGGTTAACAGGAAAATCAAAATAATAAGTCACTCCTTTTAAATGTGAGACACACTTGGAATACAACAATAACAACAACGCTCTTTCTGATGTGTTGAAACAAAAACATGAAACGTCAAACCTGTTGACGTAACTCAAGATAAAGAGTACAAGTATGAGTGGAGGAGCGCTGAAGCTGCTGTAATCACCATCTCAACTTCATGTGTTTGTGGAGGCTGGGGGCCTGGTACACACCTGCACCGTCTGACTGAGCGCGTTGTTTCATGGATAAGTCACAAACCTGCTGATATTTGTCTTTGTGCTCAGTTTTTTCCTGAGAATTTTTCAGAAATGTTGACTTGTCTTCATTAATCATGATTAATCCACAGCTACCCTGTGACTCATCAGATTATATGAGCAGTCAGTAGGGAGTTTGGGTGTTTTCAAGGATCCACAGCGATGAGATCTTTGGTTTCATGGACAGTGATTCTCAAACGGTCTAGACCTTTGTTTCCCACAGACTGGGTCGCAACCCTCAGGTGGGTCGCAAGAATTTTTTTCTCTACTGCTAAACAAAACTAGTAATAATGGTATATGCCAACCCCGCATCCAATCAAATTCATCCCCTGAACCTACATTTTCATCAAAACCGACCCCATTAATCAGAGTTATTGAATGTATGTGTATGGGCTGCACATGACGCAAACAAGTTCCAGTTTCTGTGGCTAATAAAACAGAAAATTTTAACAAAAAAATTCACACTGCAAAGTAAACACATTTGGAGCCAACTAAACAGGTATTTGTTAGTGCAGGATTTAACTAATGATTAACTATAAACAGAATAAGCATAAATACCCAGGATAGGGAGGAGGCGGGGCATCGTGCTGTCCACTCTTGGCAATGGCCTGCTCGTAGGTAGGCAGTCCTGGGGGGTTTCCCTCATCCACTGGGGTTGGGTTCACCGGCTGTAGAGACACCTCCTCTAACCTCCTCATTATCAAGGAGGCATTGCTTCTTCTCGGACGCACCCTGATGGAACTGAGGGGAGAAGTGTAGCGTCAGCGGTCATGGTTTGTTGCCTGTGTGGTACTTCATAAGTCAATTTCTATTGTCAAGAAACACATGGTCATAGGAACCAAATACCATGCAGCTAGTATCTAACACAGGCATGCACAAACTATGGCCCGAGGGCTGGATGTCCAAATGATATTATCAATTTATCCAAATGATATTATTAATTTATATTATATTTTTTCCTTTTCCCTGCAATGCTTGCATTTCCCCATTAAATGGTGTAGAAAAAGCTAAAAGCATGTTAGCATTTAGCCTTTCTGCATGACTTTTACATGTCATCTATCCTGCTCTATCTATCTGCTCCCTGCTGCCAAATTTTAGGACCCAATGTGGCCAGCAAGTCAAAAGGTTTGCCCACGTATGATCCAGCAGGAAGTGACAAACACTAGTAAAGGTTATAAATAAGAACGTCACGCACCTCGAACGGCTGACGTTGTCTTTGCATCTGCCTTGGCAAAAATACCAGAGCAGGAGGCAAATAATGACAATGGCCACCCCGGCTACGATGAGCCCGATCAGAACAGACGTCACATCCACTCGTGCGGGCCGCTTGTCTGTGGAATCAAAGTGTGAAAAGGACAAAATACTGTATGTTCAACTGTGTCAGAAGGCTTTACTATACTAATAAATACTTTAAGTACATGTTTAACCAGTTATATATGAACAGACAAAAATGACACCAAGACTAAAATGAGTCATAAAACCATTTAAAAGAACCAGGTGCTCAGAGACAAACACGTTTTCACTCATGTGTTACAGTACAGCCTCTCCGGGCTTTTACTGACCTGCGTTGTACTGCTTCCAAAAATCATCCTAAAAAACAAAACGTGAAATTATTGTAATGTTTATCAACAGGTGCTCTGACTTGTAGTCATTCATGTTACTTGGTATTATGTACTGTGTGGCTCGAATGATACTGTATTATGTGTTCTACACCACATGATGTACACCTTACCATGAGGTAAACATGATGTAATGCAAACTATTTTGCCTATGTTGTATAATGTATCGTATAGTGTACTGTGTAAAGTACACAATACGCTGTACAACATACTGTGTAGTATACAGGGTGTAATGTAAACCCTGTGGACTACACAATGTAATGTCATTTTGCGATACTAGTACTTCAGATTATCATTCACAGATTGATTCCACTCCGGTTATTAACATGTAACAAAGAAAGTCTGACTGGAATCAGCACTTCAAACTGACCAATGTCTTCTTTGAATAAATAGCTGCGGTTGAACCATGAACCATCAGTATTCAGCGAGGTACTTACTGTAGCAGGGATGTTTTCAAACACCTCTCTGGCCTCCTCATAGTTGCACACTTCTTCGAAACACTCCCGTTCCAGGTTTCCAGGTACAAATATTTCAAAGTCAAACCGGTTAAACAGCAGATGACGACCCAGAAATGAGTGTGCATCCCCAGCACCTACAAAAACTGAGAACGAGGACCAAAGGGTGGAGGCCATTGTGAAAATGACAAAATAGTTTTGGTTTCAAAGACAGTTTTTATCAACATTCACACCAGAATTCTGACTCTATTACAGTATGACTGAAAGTCAACTTTAGAGCTGCAAAAACAAAACAACAAAAAAAAAAAACAGAGATGATGATTGGGAAATTAGTTAATTACATGTTAATCGCTGACATCGCTGAAGTGTTTCCTTCACTCCTTGTATGAAGTATGACAGTAAACAAAAGCTTGATGATTGGTTTAATTTATTTATTTGCATTCAATAATAGCTAAATGTTAGCAGAAAAACAGTAAAAAAAGTTAAATATTAGCATCGTATTTACCAAATTCAATCAAACGTGTCGTTCTGTAGACCTTAAATGCCTTAAAAACAAATTAGCTATTGAATTTAATAATAAAACATATAACGATAATAAGAAAAAAACTGTTTGTTTGATGTAAAAAAATAAATAAATTAAGACACATCGAAAATACACTGTTCTGTGAAAGGTCAAGGTCCAGAGGCTGGAGTTGAAGTCTTACTTTCTCGCTCATCCTGGTCCTGGTTCGAGAGCAAAGTCCTGGTGCAGGCTGAGTGTCCACATTTGAGCAGATGAACCAGCAAGAAGACATGGAAAATAAACATGGTGATCTCACAGCACCTGAGGATGTGGAGAAGAAACGACAGGTGCTAACTGCTGACGAGCTCAGAGCACAAATGTGTTCATACTGTCACCCGTGAAATGTCGAACACATGTTTATTCTCCATTACCTACGGGGACGTGTGGATCATAATGAAAAAACGGCGTCGACCGAAACTTGAAGTCAGCACAGCAGGTGTATCTGCTCCGAAACAGGAAACGTTCAACGAAAGTCACAAACAACTGCGATATTCGGCGTCTTCTCCCGGGGAATACATGACCACAGGCATTATTTAATCGAAAAACAAAGACGAAGTTGTCACCGTCTCATTCGAAGTAAAATCCAAAGTCCTTTTAGATAGTAAAAGATAAAAAAAAGAGTTATGTCCGAACAGCATATGTGGCGTCGACTCTCTCTTGTACCTGCCAAGACTCGACCAATCGAATACTTCTACCTGGATAATGTGATCGGGTGTGTGTTACTCAAAGAAACGCCAGATGGCAGCAGAGACGGTAGAAGAGACGTTCAAGTTCTTCATTTTACCGTCAAAGAAATTGTGATCAAACATGTTTTTGTGCAACAAGCCTTTATTATCCGATTGAACATCTTTTATTTTTGCTAGCTAGGCTAAATAGCACAATAGCACAACACTCAGTTGTTGGTTTGTTCTTTTATTTTTTTATTTTGTATTGTTCTTTTATTACTTTTTGGACTGATTTGATTAAATTTGGTTCACCTTTTGAGCACAGTTGTGTTTATTTTTAGTTTGACGATTTAACAGAATAAAAACGTGTCTACTACAACTACAAATGTTAACATAAATTGCAAAAAAACAACCTTTTTTTCTCATTCTGCTTTCTAACTCATCCAACGTTTTAATGTTTATGCTTTTTACATCATATCTGCCTTTCAGCCGCCGGGCTTCTGGGCCACTGTTTATGTAAAACACAGATAGGATGTAATTGAACGTTATCTGGTTGACTTCTGGAGGGCGCTAATTGAAATGCAGTGTATTCTGCACTTTTATATTCGGCCACGGATCTGGATTCTGTCAGACTCTTGGATTGACCACAGGAATGTTGACATGAAAAGACGGGCTGCAGTAAATGAGAATTACCAGACCATACCTAGAGTGTGATGCTAGAGAATAGTGTCACCTACATATATATATATACACAAACCTAGCCCAGAACAAGCTAATATATAAATATATATCTAAAGTTTGAGTGTAAAGGCTAACTATTGGCTAAGGCTTACTATATGCTAACTTTTTATTTATTATATTTAGCTAACCATTTCTTTGTGATTCATTATAGTTCATTATAGTATAGATTCTGGCTAATTGTTATGAATTGTTTGGCTCATATATGCATCTTGGGGTCAGTTTATGAAATTGTCTGAATAATTTGTAATTTTTTTGGTTTTTTTTGGCTCAAGATGTATGTTTTTTCCCCCAGACTGTTTCCACTTACATTTTTCCTATCCTTCATCTTGAGATTTTTATTTACAGTTTAACTTTTAAGCGTCAGGTATTCAAATTATCCTAACGCTGAAGTCTGCTCTTTGTCAGTTTGTGCTGATGTCATCAGGGCCCCAGAGGAAGAGAACTCCAGCAGACCTTTTACACCTAATTCCTGGACCATATATTTAACCTGAGTGTTCTGGAGCAGTGTCTAAGAAAAGATTTGTGCGGGATAAATTGCACTTTCCATCAACAGACAGAGTGCATGTCTTGTTTTTTCCCCCTTTCTGACACACCAAGAATGAGTGAGTCATGCTGACTGCAGACCAACAGTATCTCAGTGTCCCTGGTGGAGACATGAACGTCTCTACGTGACAGTGAGTCAGCCCACACTTGAAGCTCTTGCGATACAGCTTCTGACCTCAGGAGTCAAGTTCACACTAAGTTCACACTTCTATGTTGTCACTCCTCATGTGTTCCAAGACAAGTGGTCCTCACGTTGCTGACCACTCCTCACAACTCTGCTAATACCACCACTCGTCTTCTAACTGGAAGCAGATGTTTTTAGCTGCTGAAGAGGAAAAGGCCCACAGGTATCCTGAAAGTATGACATGGCAAATGGGAAGGTAGTCGTCTTAAAATAATGACTTTGACATTCTAACGCAGGCGCGGACACACTAGTGGGCCATGAGAGATCATAATGTGAGCCGTGGAAAACTATCCAAAGTCACTTAAATGGTTCAAAAACAATTACTTATTTATTGGAAATATTTTTGTTTGTCAATGCGTGACAATCAGAACTATATATATAAACAGACAGAGTGCATGTCTTGTAGCTATGAAAACTAAAAAAAAAAGTAGAGCTGTTGAAGATCTTCGTCTTTCTTCAATTCCTGCAAGTATATCAGTCGTCTTCAACTAAAAAGGCTGAGATTTTACTAAATTCAAATTAATTAAAGTTGAAACTAGAAGATTATTATATTTTATTACATAAACCTTTGGTGAGAGTTTTGTCTGGTGGTGTGGTGTGGTGTGGGGTTCCTCCAAATGAAAAATATGTACCGTGGCTCAAAAAAGGTTGGGAAACACTGCTCTAACAGGAAGCAGATGGTCAGAGCCGCTGGACAAGAAACAAACTGGCATCCTGAACATTTGACAAGGTAAACAGTAAGGTATGTCTATTGGAAGAGTGGCGATACTGTGGTACATATCTGTCAACCAAGAGAAATAAAAAAAAAAACACAAATATGGTCTCCACTGTTCTTTAATTGAAGGGATATAAAAACTGATCAGTTCAGTCTGGAAATCTGGGATGTGGAAAGAGAGGAGCGTGTCAGCCGGTCTAGACAGTCGAGGTTTGAGCTGGGATCAGGCAGAGGGCGACAGAGCTTGCAGACTGGTCTTGACGGCTGCAAGGTTTGCTTTCCAGGAGCTGAGGCTGTCGTGCAGCTGCTGCCACTGCTGCTTGCCAAAGGTGCGATGTGTGCTGTGGCTGCAGGAGAGGGAGCAGAAGAGAGATAAAGGTAATCACAGGCCAAGGTCGGCTCTCACATCCTGGAAACATCAACTAGCAACAGATAAGTGTATCCTCTTCATGAAAACAGAATTGTGTTACATTCAATCGACAGTGAGGGTTGTGCTGTACAAAAACATTTTGATTTAGGCTAAATGGGGAAAATGTGAAAATCTCAAAACAAAAACAAAGAAGAACCCACAAGCTTCTGTATCAGAGATTTTTGAACAGATGTAAACTTGAGAAAATTAGATTAGATTAACCCCAGCTCAGCTTCACATTCACCCATGTGTGTCTGTTTATCAGACCATTTCAAATGAGTCATTTATGTTTATATGATGTATTTTTTTCCTTCTTCAAACAACAGATCAGATACATCAGATCAAATACATTTTGACCATTTACACAGGTCATAACATCCGTGAACACACCGTACACCTTCAGGTACTGGTCTATAGGAGGCGTCTTACCTCACAACAACTTTTCGCTGTGTCTGGTCAATTTTGCAGTAAACCATCTTGGTCCGAACAGCTAGAAAAATGAGAAACACAAATGAGACAGATTAGGAATGATAGAAAAACTCTAAACCCCAATTAAAGCGACAAGTGTTTCGTGAATTTCCAAGTAGCAGCAACGGTATTGATACATGAAGATGTTGTATGGAGCCACTGCTATTAAGGACCAAGAGCAAATTTAAATCTAACAGCTCTGGTACCATCAATGATGAATGCCTCGACGTCTTCTGCTCCAATCTGCAGCTCCTGCTGCATGGTGTCGAAGGAGATTTCCTTGAATTCTGAAGCCATGCCCATGAATGTCAGCAGACGCATCTTGGCCATGTTTTGCTCGTGTGACAGTCCTGCAGAGCAACAAGGTACAGACGGTTTAACACACACGGTCAGAGTTCATCTAACCTTAGTGAGCGTGTGTGTGTGCACCTAATAGCACAAAATGACAAATATTGGTTATCTCAAACTCAATGAAGAATGTCTACACCCAATTAGGGTGTAGACCTGGGACCTGGAAGCAATTTTGCCACAATTTCATGAAGAACAGTCGATAAAACAACAGTACACAGCAGAAAGAAAGTTGTAGCAGAAATACAGTGAGGAAGCAATTTTGCCACAATTTCATGAAAAACAGTCGATAAAACAACAGTTTTCGTTATTTTAACAGTGAATGTTGTGGTGATAAATAAAGTCATCCAAGGTACAAGGACATGAAAACTTACCCAAAGAATCAATAAAGTCTTTGTTACTCTGGCAGAACTTCACATACACCGCTAACTTTGCACTCACAAAGATGGTTAACAGCTGCGAAGACAAAATGAGAAAAGAGAAGTTAGTAATTAAGGACTGTACCCTGAATAATAAACCTGGAGTGTCTTAACCCTCTCGGTGGTGCTCGGTTTCTCAGTAAACAAGGTCTGAGGTTATTATAGACCTCGACTTTAACAACTCATAAGGTTGAAGTGCTAATCGGCTGAAGTTAGTTTCATACTGATACTGGTTCGCTACTTACATCATGGATGTGTTCTCCCTCCAGGAAGCGAACAGGCTTCAGAGTGAGCAGGTGGTCAAACAGAAAGGTGTTGGGGTCTTTGAGAGCACGAACAATGCATCTGTGCACAAACAAAACAATGTAAGTTGGATGTAAGTTCGACGCTTGACAACAAAAGTTTGGAAGTTTTTCCGGTGTGTTTTTAACGTACCTGTGTGCATCAACCCGTGCTTGTGAAGCATTGTCTTCTGTGTAACTTCCCAGCAACTCAACCATTACCTTTGCTGCTGGCTCACTAAGAAAACACACACACAAAAAAATAACTGGTGAGCAAAGAACAATTAAAAATGGTGTCTGAAGTAAACAAAAATAATTTTAATAATCACTGACCTCTTTTTGCAGTCAACCAGAGCTTCATACACAAGCCTTAATAGTGTGTGTTTTTTCTCTGTGTTCAGATTCCAGTCAATAATCCATTTACGCACCTGAACATGGACAAAATATAAGCAAAAAAAGAAAGTGACAAGTAGTACATGGTCAAGACAATTTATTATGGTGGGACAAATTATTTACTTGTTTTATGGCATTATCAGGCACATATATTTAAAACAACTTATTTTAACTTATTTCAGTGACAATGGTGAATACACATACCTGATCCAGGTCAGTGGGGATAAAGGAGATGGCATTACATGTGGCTGCCACCTTGATGAGGCTACAGAAGACAGTGTACCTCAGCGGTGTGTTTTCATCCATACCATGGAAGAGATTGCTTAGCCTGGAAAGATACACAATTTGACAGGTAATTAGTATAATTGGTATATGCAATAACTGCTTGAAGAGTCAGAGAACCTTACTCACAGCTGCATGCGGAGGGAGGGTCTCTCTCCTTCACGGAACTTCACCAGCTTCTCACAAAGACTTTCAATTAGTGCCTCCTGCTTTTCTGGCTCCAGGATCAACAACAGTGACACAACACTGTTCATCACACTTTCCACATCTGCAGGAAGAAAAAAGCAAATAGTTTCAAGCCATACAGATATAGATCCTGCAGGTGTAACAGTTGACTTTTAACAAATACTTTAGGGTCTTCTGCCAAGTATGATATTATCAGAAAACTGCTGACCCCTTGTGTACCTTTATCATCATCCTTGAGGCACACGTCACATGCCTCAATGATCTGAGCCAAATCCACATGAAGTCCACCTTCAGAGTTTTCTTCTGAGATTTCTGCTCCTTTGGACTTGATGTAGGCCCGCAGCTCCGACGCCTAACAATGAAAATAAATATATCATTCAGTGGAAATTGTGTCGTTTCCCACCGTAATGTGATTTCTGTCTAGTGTTTTACTCGACAAGAATATATATTGATTGATAAAAACAAAAACAATTACATGTTTTGCATAAATGTAATACATAAAAAAATGGTTATGTTCGAAACAAATAGCGTCTGTGATTTTTAAAAATGGTTTTGGAGAGAGGACAACATTTTATGAAGATGTTGATCATCCTATATTGATTGATAAAAACAAAAACAATGACATGTTTTGCATAAATGTAGATGTAGAACATTTTATGAAGATGTTGATCATCTGCTTGTGGAGGTGCGGACAATACAAATACTCATCCAGAGCTAATAAATTAGCACAAAGCATTGTGTCGTTTCCCACCGTAATGTGATTTCTGTCTAGTGTTTTACTCGACAAGAATACTGTGATTAATAGCCATTTTATAAAAACCACCAGACATTCGTCACATTTAATCCTGAAATGAGCCACTGTAAACAGACATATGTGTCACAACCATAGCGTATAGCTGTCGGTTAGTAGCAACTAGCATTTAGCCAATTAGCCCCTGGTGAATAGTTTAACATTCTAAACAAATGCTTCTTTTTTTCAAGTTTTAAGATTTTTTAAAAACTTCGGTTGTACCTGGTCTTCCTCCGTAATGTCAATAAATGCCGGGACGCTCATTTTGGGCGATTCTGTGAACCCAGATGATGAAATCCACGCTCTCAACACGGCCGAAACCTGAGCGGAAAAGGAAAAGGAAAAATTCCGGTGACACAGTTACTCTTCCGGGTCGAGTCCTTAAAGGAACAGTATTATTACAAAACGTATGCACTCTTAGATTTTAAGCCAGGGCAAATCGTTAGTAAATAATTGAACGTTTGTCGAATTTTTTATTTTAAATAATGATAGACAATGTCATTTAAATACCAAGTCAAGAGACCGCATAGCATTATTGAGTCTGTCTAAAAACTGTATGTAAAAAACTGTAAAATAACTATAATGTAGACCTGGAAAATTCAAAGGTTAGCCAAGACTGAAATATGTGATTTAATTATTCAGTGATTCTCTAAAAACTCCTGTTACAAATATGATTTCCTTTCCTAATGTTTGCTCACATTAAACTAGGATTTGTGAAAAAATAAATTCTGGTTATGTCTGCTTGAGTATAGTCCTTTTTCTAAAAAAGGGATATTAGCAAGGATATTTCCTAAATAAAGACGAGCTGCACCCATCAGAGACAGACAGGGGATTGTGGTGGTTGTCATCCAGAATTAAACTCTTATAAAAAAAATAAAATCTTATTAAAAAAAAGTTGATATACTGACTATTGCTCTTAATTGTTTCAAAAATCACAACAAGTTGTGGTGAACTGGTTGAAGAAGGTTACAACTTTATCATTGATTGTTTGTTGTAAGTACAGTATTCAGAAAAATGTAGCTCTATTATAAAAGTAAATTATAGTTAGAGTGAGTAAAACCTCAGTTCAGACCTCTTGTTCCATCAGAGGTCAACTGACCCCATAAATATTCTTAACCACCATGCTTTCAGCATCATGTTGTAGATAGATCTGAGATTAACCCAGGATGCCTCTGGTGAGAGCTGAGGCCTGTAGGTGAACCTGATCCTGAGTAAAGGGTTATCTGATGGGTCCATCTGCATGGTGAACCATCATCACTGGACTCTTCGGAATAAAAACACCACCAGTGTCAGAGAGCAGCTTCTCCTTCACAGACCCACTGACCTGTGAATGCACACACTGAGACTCCTCAGCATTATTGAGTGGGATGCTGTCTGTTGTTCACACTGATGATTTAGGTGAACAAAGTGTGGAGGGTAAGTGGAGAAGAAGTTCTCACTAAAACTTTGGTGTCAGGTTACTAAAATGGAAAGTGTTGGACGTCACTCAAGTTCACAAGTCATCTGAAAAAAATATCAGTGTGTATTTCAGGGAAATTATGGCACTGTGGAGAAACATGATGTGATGTCACCATTTCTTGAAAGTCTGTTTGTCACATACAGCCTGCAGTCAGAATTATGGAACTGAGCTCTGTTGCTTCAGTCACACGAGTATCTGCTCGGAGAGGAACTGACTGATGGAATCAGTGAGAGTGGGATGAGTCATTCAGGAACCAAAGGCCTGTTATTGAATCTCACCCTAATACGTTGTCACAGACAGGAATGTATAGCAACTTCTCCACAAGTGCGCTTGTGAAACTGGTAGGCTGTTCATTAAGTAATTAATGGCACTTGTCAGGGGTCTGCTCTACGTCAAGTCCACAATAGGAGTTTGGAGGCGACAGAGGGCTTTGAAGCTCCAGGTGCACATGAGACATTGTTTGTGTGTTCTTTAACAGGGTCTTTAAAATGTCACATTTTGTTATGATGCTGAATACCCCTTCACTTACTAATGGTAAAAACCTTCTCACCGTAACATGGAGCCTGTTCTTGGTACATGCAATAAACTGGGATTTGGTCTGTTTTCTATCATTCAAAGTCTTAGCTGGCAACATAAGATGTATACATGGGCTGATTTATGCTGATGTGGGCAGAAGTCAGAGGAAGAGTGTTGGTAATTTTGTTTTTGTTCCTCAAGATATTTTCACAGAACCTGCAGCTCATCTCAAGAACACACTTTTATTACAACAGTCAATGAGTTTTAGAAACCCTGTACAATGTTATAGATTTTATAGAAAACTAATTCTGTATATTGGTCAAACCTTTTTTCAAAAAAAGAATTCCTCATTCTTCCTCTGATCTGCATTTGAAGGCGTAGATGCTGCAGCAGACAGACAGCAGTCAAACTCTAATTATCATCTAGTAACAGTGTATACCAATACAATACCCAACAGCTGAAGTTAAGGCTTTACTGTGGTAACGTTGTGACATCACTGATGAGATTTACTGTCCAATGGTGTGCAGATTCAGCTGAAGTGTGTTGCTCATTCAGAGTTTGTTCCTCATGTTCCCTATTGGGGGTTGTGAAATTGATCAAAACCTTGCCAAGAGATGTCTGCAAATATATTTTTGTCATGCCCTAACAACGTATGAACAATTTAAAAAAAATAGAAACACCTGTGCAGGAAAGCTGGAGGATTTAGTCCACACAGACTAAGACAGTGTTAAAATGCTGAATGTTTGCCATTTTTATGACCTGCATCAATACTATTATTAATAATAATGAAAAAAATCAGAAGTTACAATTCTCCATCATGTGACGGACAAAATCACAATAGAACAATGATCCCAAATTTTTGTAGATTTTGTAGATTGTACTACTTTATTTCAAAAACCATAAATCTGAACTTTTTTTTTCCAATGTCCAGCTTTGATCTGTACTTTGTCTTTATATCTGACCCTTACTTTGAGAACCATTACAGTTGAAGAAGAAGAGTGGGACAGAGCCCTACAAAATAATTGAGGTGTTTATTATTTAGGGTAAAACAACTGTCAAGAATAGACCTCTGAAACAGTGGCAGACAGCCAGTGCTTAATGTACTAACTTTCAGAGCAGCATTTATGGGAGACAAAAGGGAGTTTTCAGAACAACATTTTTTACATTTGTGAGACATTTGTTGGACCAAAAACACACCCAAAGTCAAATTATAATCATTTTTATATAATGAACCTACAAAGAAGATTTTTGATGCAGCATACTTTGTTCCTCTGTAGCTGTCACACCGCCTACTCAGGCTCATCAGCGATAAGTGGCCTTCAGTAAAGAGTAAACAAAGCCTAGGTGTGTGCTTTTCCCCCTTGACTCAGCCAAGTGGTTTAGGATCCATGAATATTATTCAAGTGGTCATCCTCCAACATGGCTGCCTACTTCCACCCATGACTAACCGTCTAGTTCCCACAGCTCTGTGAGTTTTCACGAACGCTCAAAAATCCCCCCGCTCAGCCTCATCTATCAGCCAGTGACCTTGTCAGGCTGTATCGCTTGAGTAACTTTACTGTTTTCCTTGTGTGAAGAGAAGGGCCAGTTAATTACTTTTCAGCCGACACACCTTCTTCACACACATACATATACACAATTACGAGCAACAAATAATCAAACAAAGAGCCAGTCTTTTAGAGCAGTGTTTTCCAAACTTTTTTTCTGGGGACCCATATTTTAAAAGTCAAAAACCTACAGGAATTGATTCTTGTTACATTGTGTTTAATGCACTTTTGTCTAGCGTGCAGAAAGACAGGCCAGAATGCTAACATTAAATACATAGGCTATAATTAATTATAAACTAGATAGATGATAAAACCGAACACTGTCTGATATGTTCAGTCAATTCTACGACTGTGGTACTAAATTTCATTCAATTTGTGTTTAAATGTGATCTGGTGATTTAATAGTAAGTCGATAATATCAGATTCATACTAAGGGTGGAGCCTGATTTTTTTTTATGACGTTTCAGCGTATCTTATCTTATATAGAGACACATTTACAGTAAATGTATTTTTGTATCAATTAGCAATATGTGGTACGAAAAGCTAAGTTTATCAATCCAAATAAAATTTGTTTGGAAATGAAATTGAGTAAATACATGTACAGGTTCTTTCAGCTTTTTATTTCCTCTTTGGGGCTGTTTGAAATTTTCACTCCACCATCCGGAAACGTGCGAGGTGACAAATAAAGAATCTTGAAAGTAGAAAATATATGTAAACCTAAAGTAATCAATTGATATTCATAGTGTAGTAATTACCATGCCTTTCTTTCAAGCAGAAGGTCCTGGGTTGGAGCTCCAGAGAAACCACATACTTAATTGCACCTCCCGTGTAGGTTGCTAAGACTGACACTTTGAATTTCCCCATTATTTGAAGAATGAGGGCTTCATTTTTTTAACTTAAATATTATTAATATAATCCAGTCGTGTGTCCAGCTACATCTGGGCCACAACCCAACTATTTAGAATAGTAAAACTTCTAGGCCTTAATCGTCCTTGGTGATGTTTACATTTACGTATTTCTTTTATTTTAATAGAGCTACTGTTACTGGTTGGATTTGTCTGTGTTCACTGTCTATTCACATACTGTATACTGACTAGTTTGTGCATCACCAGATGTTGACCAATAATGATGGGAATCAAATGTCTCAAGAGACACGTTTTTGAATAATTTCTTTTGTGAAAAGGTGATGAAAGAGCTTAGTGATAATTCCCCCAATTTCTCACATGTCATTGTCTGTAACAATAGTCGATAAAACAAAACCTCAACCTGTTTAATCTGGTCCAGGGTGTGGGGATGATGAAACTGACTTACTGGTATCAAAATGCACTAATGTGGACTAATGTGGACTAATGCGCTGAATGGAGAAGTCTTATATATAGTGTATATATATAGTCTATATATAGTATATATATATATATATATATATATATATATATCGCTGTATTCTAGTAAAATGTTTAACATTGATGATGTCGTTACGTGCCGGACAGCTACTAAGATATTCCCCTAAAGTTACGACCTGCCGGTCATACTCCCGGTAGGCTGTGGTAACGTGGTGTCATCCTGTAAACATTTGCACTTTTACAATCTCAGAACAGGACTCATGAAGATAGACGGTGTGTGAACTCTTGTCTGATGAGTACGTACGCCTCAGGAACAGCTGTCAGGGTGTAACAGCGGTGAAGAGGCTGTGGTTTACTTTAATGTCTAAAACAACTGTACTGACTTCTTATCTGACTGATGTGTGGGTTTCATGTATTGTAAAGTCATTACATTTTTTCTTCTGTAACTCAGGAGACGTGGGCTGCACTTGACCACAAGGTTACATGCTTACACAACACCTCTTTACACTAACACTACACACCACACGGAAATACTTGTTTTATTACAGTATGATGGACATGTCCTCTTTAAGCTGTTCCCTTCAGGGGTCACCACAGCTGATCATCTGCCCTCATCTCACCCTGTCCCCTGTCCCCTACCTCCCGTGCAATTAAATTACCTATGTCCTCTGTCATGAAATTCATCACTCTTCTCTGGGGTCTCTCTATAATGTTATCATCTCCACCATCTCTCCTCAGCACACGTTTTCAAACCAGCCCACCTTTTGTCCTATTAGACAGAACCACTGTCACTAAACCATACATCATAGCAGATCTCACTACTGTCTAATTAAGGGCTTTCGAAGATGAATGAACAAATTCATACCATACATCATAGCAGATCTCACTACTACTTTCATATATATTCATCCACATACAAAAAAACTAAAACTAAAAACTATAAATGTGTTTTGCAACTTCTACATGAAAAAATATATCAGTGAAAATACATGTTGTTGTTCCTAAAACCCTGCTCTCCCACCCCCACCCAATGAAGATATGGGTAGGTTCAAAGCCATTTGATATTATCTCTGTAAGAAACGTGTATTTTTAACATTTCACCAATATTTGAAAAGGGTAAATAGATGGCAGTCTAACAATCCAAGCGTATCTGATGATATTTATGTCAACAGTCCTACTTCTGCAAGACAAACAGATATTAATCTGGATGATTTTGTAGTAACAGCGTGGATGAAGTCGGCCCTGACTCAGCTCTGTTCTGGGAGAAAAACTAAGGGCAGAGGCAGAAACATGTCCCTGAGGAATCACAGAGACACAAAGAGGTCGTCAACGTGGCTGAATTCAAAATAGTAGCACAGAAAATTAATTTCTCCCTAAACATTTTCAAAAATTCCCTCTCCACCCACAACAAACAAACACAAACCTAAAATATTGTACTTGGTGTACAAAAGGTTGTGGCACAATTGAAAGCATCTTGCCAAAAATAATCTGAATATGTATTTCCTCTGAGCCAAGGCAAACGCCAGCCGCGTCGTCCCCGGTGGATTCTTCAGCAGGGAAGCATCATTTGTGAAGAAGGTAAAAAAAAAAAAAAAGAAGAAAAACAACTCTTTCAGGCACCATGATGGATAGCATTCCCCACACACAGCCCAACTTCAGCTCGCTCACTCTCTTTCTGGTTAACTTAGGGTTTAAAAAAACATCAGCACGATGGAGGAAGTGAAATGGTCAATACTGCTGCTGACCTTTAACAAGATCTACAGCAGTACACAGGATGTCTACACTGTGATGAGCCTTTTTCCAGCCATGAAAAACTACACAGATATGTGACTTGGCAGGATCACATGAAAAAAAAAAACATTTTTTTCCATTTTAATAATCTCTGTTCATGCTACTGAATCTGATAATAGCCTGCTGCTCCGATGATTTAAAAGCACATGCTTTATTTTCATTTCAACAGCTCCAAAAAAACCTCTGAAATGATAAATAAAAAACAGCATGTGGAAGAGAGGGCTGTCTAAAAACATTAAATGTGCTGACAATGGAACAAAAAAGACAAAGTCCTTGATTTTCCCTGTGTGGAAACAAGGTAATAACAGACAAAAGTGCGGCTGAAGTTGTTTCAAAGGTGAATATCCTCTTTCTTCACCCTGTACTCTCCCTAAAACAATCTGAAAGTAAACTTTCTCTTTTGTTTGATGTCCTGAAGCAGTTTGGGTAATGTTTAAGCTAAGCTAATCCATCAATCTTAGCCATGCTACTTTTGGCTCTTTTAACTATTAAAATTAAAATAATAATATTTATGCTTACATTACACATTTAGAGTAATCGTATAGTAAATTTTTAATGAGTAATGTTTTAGTTTGATCCTGTTCCAAATTGTAGCCAAACTACACAAGGTCTATCTCAAATAGTAGGCTGCATATGTTGTTTGGCTAACAAGGTTTTATTTGCTAAACTTGGCTAATTTTTAGTTGTTGATTTTTAAGTATTTTTGACTTCCATTTACTGAACTGAAATGAAGATTTAACTCATAATTTAACTACATTTGACTTTATTAAGCTATTTAAGGTAACTCTTTTTTTAAAAAAGCAATGTTGCTATATTTTTTTATTTTTCTGGACTATCCTCTGGTTATCTTTCAGATCATTCTTAATCATTTTTGTTATGTTATATCCACAATTTGCAATATATAAGCCAGGAAGTTCTAAATCTACCCGTCGTCAAGGTGCTGTGTTATGATCATAGTCATCAAAACGTCAGATGGCAGATTGTTTCTATTGCTAGGACATTTAGCTACATATCAGTTACACATAACTAATTTATTTGTCACCTTTCCATACTTCCTTCTTGCTGTCCACATAGGGAACAGCGTGTTTCTTTCTACCTACATGTCAGCTCAATATCATTTTAGAGTTGTAACACTGTTGCTAACTACAAGCTCTTTTGTAATCCTACTTTTCTTTGGTGGTCTGACATGGCAGCAGACATGAGTGTGCTACAGATGCTTTAAAGTGCTGCCTGTGTTATTTCAAATTGCCAAACGTGGCATAATAAGAGGACCTTTACTTTTCTGTCAGCATAAAGACGAGCTGATAACACACAGCAATAAGCACAAATTGTGCTTTTTATTTTGCTCATCTCTTGTTTTTTTGCTTTGAGAGTTCAAGGCCCACGATGTTAACGAAAAAGCTCACTTTTTAATTTCCTCTCTTATCACCACGGCCTTCTCTTCAAAGTGCTACATTTTAGAGTGAAGATAAGAAGAGGAGAAGCTTTTCCACAGAACATGTATCAGACACAACACTGCCGTAGTGATGTTTCACACACCACCTCTCCCCCATGTTGATCACCACCTTTGACCTTTGCCCTCTCTCCACTATTCATCTATGTGCATTTACAAGCAGGACAAGTCAGGATTAAGCTCAAGTGGAAACACTTTTATATGGTTAATATGTACTAATAATTCATAAGCCATAATTATAATTGCAAAAAAAACAAAAACAAAACATGAACAAGCAATGAGATGGGAAAAAAGTTCCAGAAAGAAAACATGAACAAGCAATGAGATGGGAAAAGAGTTCCAGAAAGAAACTTTTTTTTTTACATTCCAAAACTTGGAACTTTGACCACGGTGCCTTAACTCTTTACACCTACAGCTTTTGTCTGACTTATTTTTTAAAGGAAATACAGATTACATCAGGTTTTGAGCCCTATTCCCGAACTTTAGAGAAAGAAAGAGGAACTGAAGTTCTACACTGACGTGTGTTAAGATGTTACAAGAATCTACAGCAGCTGAATGAAATTCACGGGTATATTTCAAAGTTGCTCCATTCCCTTCTAAATGTACACTGTGGTAAATTATGCACACGCACCCTCACATACACACCCATAGATATGGACAAAGAACACACACCCACACCAAAAAATAAAGAAATCATAATTGATGAATGCAAGGTAGTTAAAAGTTAGCAAGAAAATCTATTCAAGTTAAAACAGAAATAGCTAACAAGGCACAAATATGCTATTCAAGTTAAAACAGAAATAGCTAAAAGTAGCTAAAAATATGGGAAAAAATATTATACTACTACTACTACTAATAATAAAAGAGTAATATGTTCTAAAATCTCACAATAACATAAACAACTGTTTCCAAGCCTTTATATAGCTTAAGGTTAGCAAAGAATATCAATATTTGGTAAGAGAACTAAAATCTCACAATAACATAAACAACTGAACAATAGAAAAGACAGATTAAAGACAAACAAAACTTGGCAATGCTTCTTCAAATATTTCAGTAAAACTAGCTGAATTCTAATGAAATATTTTAGCTAACTAAAGCCAAAGTTATCCATTAAAAATAGTTCTTGGCACAAACTAGCTGGAGGTGGATGAAATAATAGCAAAAATTCCCAGAAGAGGGACAGACGTTTGTCAAAATATAGTCCCGAAAAGCATCCAAAAAAAGCATGGAGATAGCTAAATGTTTTTTCTTAAAAGTTAGTTTCAAGAAAGAAACCCCCAAAACCGAGAACCCACAAGTATTGTGATTTGTCTGTGGACCGAATTTTGACCTTGAAACTAGGACATAACAACCGTTACAACCGTTGTATTAGAACTTAAACATGGCCAAGGAATGAAGAAGAACACCAACTCGTATGTAACGTAATGTTGATAAGATTCTCCTGAGAGGTGCAGTCAGTGCCGGTCATCTTCCTTCTGGCCCCTCCCCCATCCACTGAGTTATGCAGTATTTCAGAGTTGAGGAGGGTTGGGAAAGACAGTCATTACAGAGACAGAGGAACCAGGCACTGTTTTCCTCACACACTTCAGACCGTCTCAACCACTGGCACCAATGTCAATGGAACCAGATGAAGTCATGTCCATGGGCTCAGATGTGCGTGATTTCACTCTCCTCACTCCGGCGCCTCTATTGCCCTCCTTATCAGCAGCTGGTGGTGGCTGTGGGATGTCCGTTAATGGTGGACACTGGACAGACCTCCATCCCACCCTTCCTTACAGCCCCGTGTCCTATCCATCACTGATGAGACAGGAATTAGGTTGGGGGACTGAACCCTTGGAGGACCCTCACTATGGACTCGGGGCCTTCACTGTGCACTTCTCAGGCCAGTTCACGGGGACAGGACCCTATGGAGTCGGAGCAACTGGGGAGCAGACCGCAGGTCAACCAAGAACGTTTCCCAGTGGAACGTACCTGTCCAGCTGTATGGACAGTCCGTCTGGGGCCTGGAACCAGGGTGAGTGAAGTGAAGACTCACTTCTTTGTTTGTGGCAGTTTGAAATGTTTTATACAGAGGAGACAGAACTGATGACATAGTGAAGACTCACTTCTTTGTTTGTGGCAGTTTGAAATGTTTTATACAGAGGAGACAGAACTGATGACATAAACATGCTCAGCTGCTTCTCTTTTTTTTATGATATTTAGAAAATACATTATTTTATTTGAGACGTAGTAAACATGCTCAGCTGCTTCTCTTTTTTGATATTTAGAAAATACATTGTTTAATTTGAGACGTACTTAAATCTAAGACATGATGTATTTTGGACAGATTTCTACTAGCATTACGGCTATTCTAGCATGTTTTACATCAGATTAGCAACACAATGTTAGGTATCATATATATTGTGGTGTTATGGTAATATCACAATATATACAGTATGACATAACTTGCCCTCCTTTATTTTTTTCTCTTTTGAAGATATTTAATTATTAAATCCTTCGTTGACTTTAGATTTCCCTTTAACGTGACACTAACATTTTTGTTGTTGTTGGCAGTTGTGGGAGTCACTGTTTATTTTTCTTCTTCTTCTTCTCCTCAGTGGAGCAGCAGTACGCAGCTCCTCCTTCTTCTCCTCCACCTCCCATGTATGGATGCCACAATCTTCCAGATTCGTGTCCCAACAGTCAGGCACTGCTGCTCAGAAACTACAACCGGTACGAATATTAAACCATGTTGGAATGAATGTTGTTTTTACAGTGGAGATTTCAAATGACTTGATGTAAAAACATCTTGAAGAAAAAAATAATTTCTGTAAAATACAAATACATTTGGAAGAGAAACAGATAACAAACCTAAAAGTTTACTAAATAAAGCTGACATTTAAATATGATATAGACCACATATGTCAAACTCTAGGGCCGCGGCCCAAGACAGCTCACATTATCATTTTATGTGGGCCACCACAGCTTAGGGTAGTAGAGTTTGGTTGTTTTGAAATAATAGTCTATAGATGTAGAGATATATATGTTAATATTTACTAGATGGGTTATATACAGTGGTCAAATTATAGGAATACTGTATAATTCTCTAATTCCAATGTTGCCTGATGATATTATTTTAAGTTTATCTTTTATTTTTTTGGTTAAAACATGGTCGTGCGTTTGACTGCAGTGTTTATGTCTCTCAGTGATAACATGCACCAAATGGCATCTCAGCTAGAGTGTGTGACACGTCAAATAAACACAGTCACAGCATCCATGAAGAAGTGAGTTTTTTATCATTATTTACATTTATACTTTTGTCAAATCTGCGACATTTTAAAACAGAATCTGTTTTTTCTTTTAATTTTGAAAACAGCCTCAAGCTTTTGCTGGGCCTTTTGTTTCAAACTTATCTCTTGAGTTGATAATTAGGACTATATTAAAAATAATCAAAATGAATGGTTTAAATATTATTCAAACTTATCTCTTGAGTTGATAATTAAGACTATATTAAAGATAATCAAAATGAATGGTTATTGGTGGAGGAGAGATGAAATGTGAATATGACATATGTATGTAATATTTTGTTTCCTGAAAAAGCAACACACAAATACAGGAAAGCACAACATGAATAACGCTGATTTCTTATACTGTCTGTTTTCATCTGTGGCTCCAGCAACAACCACAACTGCAGTTACGACAGCGAGCCCACAGCCACTCCTCCACCTGTACTACTCAGTGCTGAGTACCACATCCACACACACAGCGTCTTCAGAGAAGTACAGGTCAGTACTGTACATCAAAACACACACACTAAAAAAACACTACCATTAGCCTCTCCAGCCTTCTTCAGTTTTCCTTTTACTCTCTTTCACAAAAGGACGTCAGACGAGTACCAGGCACCGCTACTCCCGTTACCAAGTCAGAGTCCATTGATAAGCGTCCGTTTTCTTGTACTTATCCAGGCTGCAGCAAGAGGTATTTCAAAATGTCACATCTGTTGACGCATGGACACAAGCACACAGGTGAGATCTGCTTTAAGGTGTCACTGCAAACAGTAGATAACAGATCTGAAGGATCACGAGAAAAATAACGAGAATTATGTTTTTACAGGAGAGAAACTTTACCAGTGTGATTTGAAAGAATGTGGTCGTAAATTCTCTCGCTCGGACCAGCTGAGGAGACACCAGCGTATACACACAGGTACAGCAGTGCTGTGGTAAAATCTAACTGTGTGGTTTGCACTCAAGAATTAAGGGTGATTAACAGATGATGTGATCATTCCCTTCTGTACAGGAGTGAAGCCGTTTCAGTGTAAGATCTGTGAGAAAAAGTTTTCACGGTCCGATCACCTTAAGACACACACTCAGATTCACACAGGTAAAACAAGTGCAGAAACTTTTTGTTTTCCCTCTAACACTAAAGGTTGAATTTGGTCTAAAACAAGCATTTTTTTGTCCTCTTTCTCATGGTCTAAAACAAGCATTTTTTTGTCCTGTTCTTTCTCGTCATCCTCCCTGTCAGGAGAGAAGCGATTCACCTGCCGCTGGTACGACTGTCATCAGAAGTTTACCCGCTCTGATGAGTTATTGCGTCACCGCAGGATGCACCAGAGGAATCTAACCAGGCTGAAACCTGCCCTCTGAAAGGTTCAAGGTTCTGGTGGATAAAACAGAAGTCTACATGTTGGGGTCAACTGACCAATCCTTATATCCTGGTGATGAGCCGCTTCGCTGGATCAGCCTCTACGCTGACGATGCTGTTCTTGCAGACTCACTTAAGAACCACTAGGTGTAAAACATGGACCTAAGACTAGGACGGATCCCAAAACCACAGGAAATGGGCTAAAGAAATTGATTTTCTGCCCTCAGGCACACCGAACAACAGTTGGGTCTTGAAAAGTGACAATATAAATAAACATAAAAACTATATTGTTGAATAAATGCATGGTCTTACCCTTCAAGTGCCTTAAGGGGAAACCTTTAATTTCCTGGGCTAGCAGGGCCACAATCTTTCCAATGTAAATACATATCAAACTCTAAAGAATGTGCAAATGTAAAACTATAATTAATTTTCAAATTGTTTTGTTTGTCTTTAATCAAAGTGAAAATAAAGGCAGTATTTTTGTATTAAAGAAATTTAACCAGAATTAGTGATTTTACATCCATTACAGACTTGGCCCAAACACATTTTAATAATTAATTGTTCTCTTTGCCCATGAATTATGTTTAAAGTGCTTTGAAGGAGGACTTTAAAGTGTTTATGTTAACCAGAATTAGTGATTTTACATCCACTACAGACTTGGCCCAAACAAATTTTAATAATTAATTGTTCTCTTTTCCCATGAATTATGTTTAGTAGTGCTTTGAAGGAGGACTTTATAGAATTTTAGACATAGTTACAAAAGCAATTTAATCACATGTAAAATTAAGACTATAAAAGGTTTTACATGTGTTTTTTTTTATTCAATTTTGCTATTAGAAAATGTGTACACAGGAGAATACGAGCCCTCGTATTCCTCCTATAATTTCTTCTTGTCAATTTTTTTATTTTTTGTCTCTTAGTAGCTAATAGTTTTGATCAAAATATACTTGAAACAGCATCCCACCAATGACTACCTCAACCCAGAGCTATATCTTGAATTTGAAAGAGGTGGTAGAGCAGAGGTGCAGGCTTGTTTGTGTGGAATCAGGTAAGCAATTTTTAGTTGCCTTGCATCTTTAATAAAATGCACCCTACTAGCTTACAGATTCAATGTCAACAACACTTGTACCATAAATAGAAATCCATTGAATTATTTTCTTTCACAGTTGAATCATGGGAAATATATTGGTCCAGGAATAAGATAATGAAGTTCCTGCCTATATTTTATATTCTTTAGAGGTTTGATTGACATTATTTTGCCTGTCTTTAATATGAACATATATACTATGAGCTGCTGAAATAATTACCACAAAATAAAACTCATATTGTTAGAATAACTACAACAGAAATATAATTTTGTGTTGTGATTGATAACCAACTACTTTTGGTGTTTTGAACTTGAACACCTTAACAAATTCGCGCTACAATAGCATTTTGTTTTTTTGTCCACTAGATGGCAGTATCAGCCTGGAAAGCGCGGCTGATGGTTTCGATGAACTCCATCTGTAATCACTGGTGAGAATGAAGATGGATCACGACTGTACTCAAATATTTACCTTATCCAACCATCAGTGAACCTTCAGTTTGCAGCGTTTATTCCTATGTTACTTACAGTGGATCGAGTGACAATAAATGATGAAAATATCCATCAATTTTTTTTATTTGTTCAAATGGTTAGCAAACCAAAACCTGTCAACACCCCCCCTCACCTCCCAAAAAAACAACTGGACCACTGGCCAGACATTCCTAACATACAAGGTCAGTGAAAGTGGTGGAATTGATAAAAAAAAAACATATTAATCAAGTAGCTATGTATTTAATTAATTCTTGTTTCAATCAATTAACAGAAATATAGGTAAATATTTAGTTAGTTCTAAATTCACTTGTGCATTTTATCGGTCCATTAGTTCTATTGTTTGTGCTTGCGTGATAAGAACTCATGGTGACACAATTTGCATACAACCATGCTTTCATCCAAGCTTCCATCTGGACGTGTAAAGAAAAACAAAAAAACAAAAAAAACAAATGTCAACCAAAATTTCCTTTTGCACCGGTGTCACTCAATGCAACCTCTGCATCGTCTTTGCAAGCAAACTTTACTGCCATCTACTGGATTGGATTATGCAATTTAGGCGTGATGTTTCATCTGTTGTTGCAATCAAGGTGTTTTGTCCCAGACAGAACCTGTGAATATTCTTACAGAGAGCGACTGTAGAAAAACATCACAACCAAATTCGACAGATGGACTTGAACGCCTTTGTTCTGTTCCAGGGTCACACACAGCTCGTTTCAGGCGGTGAGTCAGGTTTCCCGGTAATTCACATGATGGCTGAGGGGCCTGGTATCTCTGTGATGTTCAGTTTTCTAATCAGCTGCAGTGTGATTAAGAAGGGTTTCTCTGTGTTGTGTCTCCACAGGAATCAGAAAAAGATCAGAGGAGCAGCAGACGCTCATCATCTAACTCACCTCACTTCACCTTCAAGGGCAGACTAACAAAGACGGCCGCGCTGTAGATTATGACGAGTCTGAGAGTCTTTAAATGTCAGGAGTCATTACTGCTGTCCTCCTCACACGTACAGAGACAATGACCGCAGATTACCACTGGCTGAGTTTGTCGGTGATAATATTATCACAAAGAAATTGCTATTTTTTACCACCGCATCTAAAACAGTACTTAATAACAGTGTTTTAAATATAACAATATTCCACCACTGACCACATGTAAACAAACAGCTAGAGCCAAAGCCAAATTTTATTGGGTTTGTTGGACCTATTTCTCAACATTTTAGCCTTCTTTCTTCGAAGCTAACCATTAGCTATATTCTGGCCGTCTTCAGTTGCATTTTAACTTTTTATGCTACACTGTTGTTGCACTGTAGCTTCTTTTTTTTAACATCTTCTATTGTCGAGGACTCTGTAAGGAGGTGATATCGGATAATACAACAAATGTTTGCACTCCATTTCCGCTCCTGCCAAATGTTAGCATCATTCTGGATGCATGAACACACACGGGGACTCCAGCAGATGCCCCCTCAGCTGCACTGCTGGCTGCTTGCCTGTAGGGTGTGTCAGCGTGGGTAATCTCAGGTGACATACACCTGCTAACACACAGCCCAAGACATCTGTAGGACAGCAGGTCTGCTAGCTTCACAGCCTCCAAACCAGATGAAACCCACACACACGCAGCCCAGAAGGTTCCACCATGATTATAAGTGTGATAACAAAACCCAAGTTAAAACCCGTGGAACAGATAGAGCTTTAACTTTAGGGCCTGAAGTAACCTTGTGGGTCTCTGCAGAAGTGATTTTTTTTTTCAGTGTAACGTCTCAGGTGTGTCAACGACATCCACACAAAGACCCTGCAGCCATTCTTTCAGCTAAAAAGGCGTTGATGAACCACTTCGAACTGGAAAAGTCAGTGCACATGTAGCACACAGGGGCCTCTGTCAGACCCCAGGGACTTTAACAAGGTCAAAACCCCAGAGAGTGGGGAAGGTAACCAGAGCTGTAAGACCTTAAAACAAGAATATTGCCACATCAGCAGGGGGCGCTGCCGTAGACTGTTCCTTTAATTGTCATTCAAATATACATCACATTAAAAGTTTTTTTTTTTAAATTACAGGCTGCAAAAATTGAATTAGCCTTAAAACTAAATAAAAACAATAAATTAAATGATTTTTTTGTTTGTTTTACAAAAATAAAAAATAAATACAAACAACAATAACAACAGCAACCAAAAATTAGCCAAAGGGTATGCAAGAAACTGAGTCTCGGGGTGAGGTTCATGGAAGATGAGACACTGACTTCTTAGTCAGATTTACAAAATAATTAACCCAAAATATGGCTACTAAAAATATACACACGTCTTTAGTAACTCTGTAGCATTTTATAAAAAATCAATACGATTTACACCATCAATGGGTTTAGAGTTCTATTTAAATATTCACATGTATTTTAAAATGCTTAAATTTTAATGCGTTATTCAGCTTTAATAAAGACTTCGACAAAGATGTAATAATAATTAGAAAAGAACATTTAGGTTTAAGTTTATGTTGGGGTTTTAACGCTCTTACCTGTTTTTAATGAAATGACTCCATGGTCCTGTGTTTCTCCAGAAAAATCACTTCCATGTAAACGTCTTCCTCCTTCTTATTCCTGTAGCGTATTTTCTAAGTCTCTACGCCTTAACTGCCATAATAAACATAACTGAATTATCGTAACAATTTTTGATCTTTGTGATGCAGAACTCGTTCGAAAAGAAGAGTTATTTTCTCGAGTTAATTTTAAGAGCAAATCCGAACAAATAAATTAATAAACAGCGAGCCATAACTTTCCGGTATTGCTAACCTATTAGCAGCCGGGGTATCTGACGAGAGGAGCAGAAACAACAAACACCTGTTGTTGGGCTCACGTCTGCCCCATTCGGTGCGGCATGGTACTGTGTACGCATTTACGATCCCTGAGGGTAAATATAAAATATAAAAAATATGGAAATTATTGGAACTAATGTAAAACAAAAACAAACAAAAAATAACTTTTATTTTAATTTCTACTTTCATTACACCCCCTGTAACTAAATGTCCCTCACAAGAAAATAGGTGATCAAATTTTGATAACATTGCACAATAAGATGATTTAATTTTCAGATGTCCCTCACAAGAAAATAGGTGATCAGATTTTGATAACACAATAAGATGATTTAATTTTCACACAAAAGTCATGGGCCACGTTAAAGCCAACCGAGCACCACATTTATTCAGTGAAGCATGTTTTGTAGTTGTATTCCCAGACTTCACCCTCCATCTCCCCTTAGGCTGATTTTTTTCTGTTGTGCAAAGCTTCTGCTCCACAGTCTGTGGGGCCTCTGGGTTCTTTAGGTCTTTTCCCCGTGGGCTGGCAGGGAGCCTGAGGGGCCACAGTGTGTCGGAGCGCAGTGGGAATGCAGGGGACTTCAGGGGTGTGGGGATCAGATGGGGTCTGTGTGGTAAAGTTTACTTCGAAGACTCAGTGACGGAGCAGACTGAGAGAGAGGAGTGAGGAGAAAAGACTTCGAGAGGAGTTATAGATTTGAAGCAGCAGCAGGCATGAGTCCATATAGGAGTCTGGAGACGTTCAAATACCCAGAGCCAGGGCTCCAGATTTTCTCAAGTGGAGCCAGATTCCATATTGTATAATTTCCTGAGGGCCGGGGACTATAAATAGATTTAAGGAAAATACTATATTTTCTTCAGTGCATGACAAATTGCAAAGTAAATTAAAAATAGTTTCTACATTTTTTGTCACATTTTGTGTTGATAATTATTAAGTTTTAAAGTAACATAAATGCCATAGGCTTCTTAAATCAATAGTAGAACAGATTTGATCCAGAAACCAGAAGAATAATTTAAACAGTAAACATTTTACATTTCAACAGTAAAATGGTAAACAGTTAAACAATTAGCTATAACTGGATAATTAGTTCATGCTAATAGTTAGTTGTTTTTTTTTTTAAAAAAGCCAATAATTATCCAATATATATAATGTTAAAATAAGTTTCTCTTTCTTAATAAAAGTTAGCAAACAAATCAAAAATTGGACCAATATAGCTTAACAATAAACCATGACTGGTTGGTAAGTAGTTAAGGTTATCCTTAAAATGGACTGAAAGTAACTGCTTAAGTTGTTAAGTGAATGTAAAATATTTGAGAAATGACTGATCTAAACCCAAAAAATACAAGTCAACAATTAGACATGGAAAGATGTTTCTTAAAAAAAATTCAGACGTGTCGTCTTTCATCTTTCTGTCCCACCTACTGTTTCTTCGTCTCAGATAAAGGATACTATCCTAACAGGATTAGCTGCATATCTATCATGTGAGATACCAGATCAAAAAACAGGTTAAAAAAACCTCTGGAGAGCAACGAGACAGATCAGATGAAACAACAGTGCCTCATTCCCCATTTTCTCCTCCGTCCTACATGTGTCTAGAGCTGTGGCCGGGAGGGAGACGTGGGATAACTCCAAAACCAGTCCTGTATGAGCCCTTTGTCCATTAAAACTTTCCCCCAAAGTTGCTCTGGGCAGATACAGTAAATCACATTAGAAATGTCAGTGTGAGTGAGCAGCTAAAACAGCCGTGTCAAAGCTGTTCCCAACTGATTCGGAGTTCTCCTGACCTCGGTCCAAAGCTGCAGTGAACTCACAGAGCTGTTATTATAATAAGTTACCAACTCACTAGCTTTATATGCTTCCTAAATTGAAATATATTGCACTTTAAAGACTTCTCTCTAATCGTGCAGTCATTAATGGCCTGTGTCATATCTACACCCCACTGATGGGCACATAAAAACTCCCGATGATGGACGAGCGCCGGTGCATGTGCTAAAAGACATCGAATTCTGTCTGGAGTCTTATCTCCTGGCCACCAGGGGGAGTCAAGACCTACGTGAGGGCAGCAAAAGGGGAAGCAAAGGAAGCAGCAGGCACTTTTCTCCAAAATGACATAAAAGATTGATGAAAGTCTCTAAGCCTGACTCATGCAGCAGTGGAAACACGCAAGACACCGAGTTAGTCGACACTCACATGACATGAGGACACAAGGCAGCACAGCTGGCACCAAGGCAGGAGGAGTGAGCTGCATGTCGTGGCAGCTGGAGACGGGATTTCAAAGTGACTGGGATCGTGAGGCAAATTCACACATTTTTAAACACTTACCAAAAAAAAAAAAAAAAACCTTAAAAAACTTTTTATAATTTTGTTTTTTAATTTCATGGCACTGACTGATATGCTGTCTTTTATATGCTCTTATAATACCTCCAACTAGCAACTAGCAGCAACACTGCTAACAGATGAGGTGAGACTAACAGTCTACCTACAGTTCTAACTCACCAAACAACATTTTTTAACAAACAAATTACAGAGAAATTCTTTTCCCATGTCCCAACATGTCACATTTTTTTGCAGTACGTACTCTCAGAGTATTCTGGAGAATATTCTGGACTAAATATGTCGTTTTTGGATCATTTCAGTAACAAATAAACAGATTTGCAAAGGAAATATATATTTGTCAACTCCTATGTTTATCAGAATATTAAACACTTTAAAATATATTTTTTTAAAGGTACATTTAGAACAGATACAAAGTGCAGTTAATTGTGGGTAACCTATGGACAGTTAATCATCAACAGAGCATTTTTTTCATAGGTCATATAAAAGCACAGCCTCCTGTTATATAATGGATGAAAGGCTTGTTATAAACAGCTAAAGATGGTCAGATGTCTCTTAAGATCCTCATAGACAACTGACCTGAGGCTATGAATCCTCTGGGCGGAAGGAGCAAGACATAAAAAGACAGGGTAAAATAAGACGTCATGATGATCGGAGTTGGAGACAGGACTATTAAGAGGGGACAGTGGAGTTTGTCAAATGGACAGTTCAGCTGTAGCTGTCTGGGGTTATTTGCTGATGTTAGGATTGCAGATTGTGATTAGAAAAAGGGGATCGTAGATTGAAGTGGGGGGGGGGGGGTTAATGTTGCAGATATTAATATACTTCATTTGATGAACCTCCTCTACAACTGTCTCCATCCTTCCCTCACCCACGGGGCTCATTATAGTCAGCAGGGAGAGGATGATTCACACAGACTCTCATATGAGCGCTGTTTGAAGGCATTAACCCACAACACACACACACATACACACACACACACACTGGTTTCTGTGTTTTGTGAGCACTTTACGTAAAGTTCTATCCATCCATCCATCCATCCATCCATCCATCTATCTGATTACAAATATACACTATGTCTAACCTCAATCATCCCACTGAACTAAATCTTGAACATTCAAAGAACCTTAGTGATTTTTTGCCTTAAATGTTAGTTAATTTTTAATTACTAAGGTGAAAAGTAAACAACTGGACTTGCTTGAGATTTTAAAATTTTATTTATCTATTTAAATTGTACCTATTTTCCACTCTCATCCAAGAAGCTCATGAAAACTTATTTAAGATAAAATTACACATTATTTGTCATTACAAGCAAGTCCACATGTCTATGTCTGAGTTTCTATGCTATTAATAAGTCAAGCTTTCTTTAAAACCTTGCTGACAAACACAGAACATTTGGCTTTGTTTCCAAAAACTAGAGACGTGGCTTGAAGAAAAACAAAATCACATTTTAAGTCATCCTACGTCTTTCCATTAGACAAAGAAAGAATTATTTGCCCAGAGAGGCCTTTGGATTCCGTCAGTGCACTGGGTTGACAGATACTTGATATCTTCTCTATGCAAATGACATTCTCCTTCTGTTCTTCATGCCCGAGTCTCCGAGTCTCGCCTGAGGCTGCAGAAATGTCACTTAGATTCATGACATTTCGGACTCCTGCAGTCATGGTCATGGAGAGTGCTGGCAGAAGGTTCTACATCACAACAGAATAACACAGCCCACATATACATCCCCCTGTATCCGGTCCCTAATGAGCTTTATCGCATTGGTCCCGCTTGACTTGTCTTGCTAAGTGGCACACATATATCCATATGTTCCACATGAGCGGGCAAAGAGAGGAAGGGCTGGGTGGCAGAGCCGCTGTCTCACTTACATCTAAGAGTTTGACTGCACACTGCCGGCAGCAACAGAGTCCGCTCAGCTCGGGCCGTGTGTGGACGCTGACTACAGGAAGTGTTAGCAGCTTTTGGTGGTTCATGGAACATGTGAACAGCCTGAACCCAAAAACACAGGTTGGTTTACTGTTGACACGTCCATAGAGACAAGTTGATGCAGTTTAGAGGGTTCTATGTGGCCTTTGTATTAAAGTTCTATAGTCATTTTAAAATTAATCTAATTCTGGTTGATTAGAGTATTAAAGTTCTATAGTCATTTTAAAATTGATCTAATTCTGGTTGGAAAATACAGTATGTCTCTAAACTGTGTCCTTGACGGTATTTCAAAAAAAAAAAAGAAAAATCTCAAACCTATGACCTTTCATTTGACAGCTGACCACATCACAGAGACAGACTCCGCAGTGTTCCAAACAAGCAGAGATGCACACATAAACCGTAATAAAATGGGTTAGTAAGTGACCGATGCTATAAGAATTGAGCAATTTTCTGGTCGGGCTCCAACCGACAACCTTTCTGACAACAGCCAAATGCACTGACAGGTTCCAGAGAGTCAGTTCCACAGAAACAGGCGCTGCAGTGTTTCCAGCAGGAGAAGCTGCACACATGAATTACAGGTGGACGTTTAGAGGATACTGGACGTCCACAGGTGGACTTGAACCACCGACCTTTCGGATAAGAGACGAATTAGCTGTTGTAATGTTAGCCACAGAGACCTGTCTATAACAAACGGAAACAACCAGGACTCGTCTGTGGATGAAGTGACAAGTGATGGTGTTTCAGAGAACGTCGCTTATTGGGATTCAAACCATCAACCTTTAACTTCACTTTTCACTGGGTTGCCTTGTTCAGTTGTTGTAGACCCAACATGGGCCACATTTTAGACCCACAGTGGGCCACAATTTTGCAACTTTTAGCAATAAGTTGTATCACAAGTAAATTTTGACAGTCTTAAAACCAGAACACATTTGATCGTTTTTATTTTTAAAGTGTGAAATTGAGACAATACATATTTATTCCACAACTGATGCGGACGGAATAATACATTTGGGACCATAAAAAAGTGTGTATTTAAATTTCAAACAGGTTCAAATAACTCAAACTTGAAAAAGAAGCCCACAAAGGTTTTTGGTTAAAAACCTGTTGTGGATTCTTGTGAAGAGTTGGAAATCAAACACAGGTGAACAATTGTTTGTCTTTTTGTGGCCCTGAGACGGACAGACGACCCGTCGAGGGTCTACGCTTGTGGATAAATGGAAAAAATAAAGAAGGAATATAAACAGAAGGTTGATCTTTACAAGATGACATTGGGTTGATGCAACAACATGTGAGGTGAGGAAACTGTCTATTCCTCCTGTGAGGCTTAAGTGTTATTGAAAAAAAACACAACACTGCAAAATAACACTGTGGTCGTGAAATGGTTGACGATTAAGGTGAACAAAAGCGACCTGCTGTCGGCTTCCATTTTTCCAATAAATACATTTCACACAATGTAAGAAAACGTTTCTGTTTCACAGGCTAAACTAAAACCAAACACGTGCAAAAGAAAAAAAAGTTCAACATCAGAAAAAAAGTTCAGCATCACTTAGTTTTAAAGCATGTAATGAAAACAAAAAATACATTTGATCATAAATGTAAACAGTTTAAAACCATCAGGGAAAAGAATTAAATCCTAAGATTAGACGTTACATGAGAAATAAATAAGAAGCTTCTGCTGCAGTTTCACATTAACTTTGCTGTTTCTAGTTTTTGACAGTGACAGCGTTCGTTTCTGAGGCAGAGGCGCTGAGGAGGATACGACTGAAAGACACCAGTGATGTTTCTGAATGTCAGAAACACCTGGAGTGTAACGTGGTAGGACCAACTTCCCTGGGTGTCTACAGTGTTGGTCTGAGGTCCTGATCCGCTGACGCCCGACCCATTTCAATAAGGAAACAAGGGCGCGGTGGGGGCAGTGGTAGAAAAGAGCGGAGGGATGAACGTTTTGTTCAGATGGTGTATGTTCATGGTATCAAAGTTGTCAGGAGGTCTCACACAGTCACACAGGAAAATGTCAGGGGCTCAGAGCTCGTCGTGGTTTCTGGTCAAATCCTCTCCGTAGTTGGTGGCTTGACTTCCAACAAACATGTTCCAGTTCTCAAGAACCTCTTCTTTGGTCAGCATTTGATCCTAAAAAAAAAGAAAAAAAAAGATATTGTATTTTTCTTTCACACATCCATAATGAACCAGACCTTTTATGAAATATTCCTCTAAAGCCGTACCTTGTCCTTGTCAGACTCATAGACCAGGTGTCTGGCCTCGGCCTGTGCATGGTCATAGTCCTGTGGCATAATCCACTGACGGATCTCATCCTGGTCCATTTTACCGTCTTTGTTCAAGTCTCGGAAATCGGAGAACTGCTCTCTCTCCGTCTTGACCCAATCTGGCTCTGGACCCCCGTCTTCATGGGCGAACATGTCGGCTGGAACAAGAACAGTGTTGTGATGTCAGCAAAGTGAAGGAGACAATGGGATTTTTGTGTGGTATGAGCAGGTGGTTGAGGTAGGAGAGTAAATGAAGTGGACCGGGACAGAGAGGGTTAGTGATGACCAGATCAGATCAGACCAACAACTAATGTTGGGAGGTACGGAGGTTCAGACTGGACTAACTCAGGTTCCTTTAAGTCGTTTGACCTTCATTCCAATCATTTCATGAAGGAGTAGAAGAATGCAAAAATCACAAATGAGTAGAACACAATGAAGAAGAAAGTGATGTTTAGTATTTATCGTGTGAACTTACCGATGTACTCGTCCTCGTCCACGTGTCCATCTCCATTCTTGTCAATATCCTCCAGAGTTTCCTGTGGTCACATTCAGTTGACACAGTTAAGTCCTCGGCAACCGTGAATAGTAGGATTGTAACGATAATTTGTGAATCATTTCAGTTGCTAATGGTATTTAACGTAGTTCTTACAAAAAAATAAAAAACAAAACAAACTGTGATAAAGAAATCTATGGTGATCAAAAAGTAATACAACTAAACACCAGGACTAAAATGGTATTTAACGTAGTTCTTACAAAAAATAAAAAAAACAAAACTAATTGTGATAAAAAAAATCTATGGTGATCAAACAGTAATACAAATAAACACCAGGACTAAACTTCTACAGATACAGATGCAGAACGTAGACCTTCAGAACACTAGGTGAATATAGTCCGACATCATGCGAGTCCCACGTTTGCGTGTGAACAGCCGCACACTTGACATGTTTGATAACTGCACTACATTTGCCTACATGCCGTGCTAACAGCTGTTTTCACATCCTGCAGGTGAGATGGTCTCGCTGAACTCCACTCCATAATTTACCACCGTGTCCAACAGCTGACTAATAATAAATAAGAACACGCATTCATTTCCTCAGTCGCATTAGGCTGTTAGAGGTCGCCTGTTAACCGGAGATGTAGATTAAAAATGTACAACAGACAAAGACTCACAGATGGAATGAGAGACTGAAGCTGCTACGGCTAATGCTACACACATCCAAGTGAGTGATGCTAATAACTGCCAAGTACAGAGGGTTAGGACTGATGTTAACATTAAGACTGTAGCTGCATCAGTCTTTACTGACGGGCTTTCATTAATCCAAAAATCATGTAATTTCAACTTTTCTATATGCCCTAATTCCCAATGACCAACGTCCTGATAATGATCCAAGGGCCAGTGATTGGGAACCTCTGGCACCCAGGTGATGGGTGTTTTCCCCTCTCGGTGTGAGTTGACATGTCTCAGACGGAGCCCGTGGTGCTGTATGATTACACTGCCGTGCCTCTTTCTAACAACTTTTAATTATAAGGTTTTAACGGCCTACCCACCAAAATCACAATATCCTTCATGTGTTCAAACTCCTCTGGATGGAGGAAAGCTGTGAACTCCTCCTTGTCTGCCGCCAGGTCGTGGTTCAGATCAGCAGTTTTAAATCTCCTCTCGTCTCGAGGAAGCATCTTCCTGAAGCTGAACTGGTCTGTGGCCTCTTCAAACTCCTCTGGATTGGCTGAGGAAGACAGAGGAAAGAAGGTTTACCGTCACTGCCCTCTGGGAATTTAATTATTATTACACACGGAGTTAACGCCTACCCAGGTAGTATCCATATGTGGCCTGCTTGTATTCATCCCAGGAGATCTTGTTGTCCTTGTCCAGGTCATAATCTGTCCACACCTTGGCCACGTTCTCGTACACGTAGCGTTTCTGGACTCGTTTGATCCAAGACTTGAGTTCGTCTGTGGTGATCAGGCCATCTGCGTTGGTGTCGATCCGGTCCACAATTTTCCTATGTGGTTAAAAAAAAAAAGAAAATAAATGAATGACACCTTTGTTTAAGTCTTTACTGAGAATGTAAAGTCATTAAATACCATTAAATACCAGCTTAATGGAGATTTGATGGATCACTGACTTGTCTGGAGAACAGAGTCTGATTCATTCTCAGTCTGTATCTGATCTTTATTTAAGTTTAATGTGAGTTTGAATTACAAGAGGTTCGTAACCTGAGCCGTTTTTATTGGTAAAAAGAAAAACACATACTTGAAAACTGAATAATCTTTAACCTTATCTTGTATTACAATTTAAAAACGTTTCCATTAAAATAATAAAAATAAAATAATATATAAATCTATACAATAACATGTACATATTCAATTCATTTAAACTACACAAAATATCATTAACTCATTAACTTATGTTGCCCTAAATAACAAAAACATTACATTCATCAAAGAATAAAAACAAAAATATATATACAAATAAAAAAAAGCTACACACACACACACACAGCTATTTGAAGAAGAAAGAAATTTGCAGTCCTAAAGATTAGGATCTAGGATTAGCACGCAAAAAAAAATAATCAAAACATGCAAATAAGAAATTAAAATTAATAAAATATATAAAAATACTTTCCAAATTAATTCATATAATTGGCCACAGACCGAATTGAACTACCACAGACTTGTTACAGGCTGTTCTACTTTCACCATACAGAACAGGTCTACACTTAGCCTGGGGTGGGAGGAGCAGGCTAACCCCCGGTTTAGTAGGAGGAGAAAAAAAAAAGAGAAAAATGCAGTGTAGTGTAACTGTGTTGTAATTTTTAGACCTGCTGCTGCCACGTTGAGATGTTAAGGGGATCCTCCCACTCTCCACACCGCAGGAGAGAGTTTTCTCAGGGGGAACTCACAAAAAGGGTTACGTGGTACAAACATGTCGACCAAGAACCATGCAACACTTAGAAAGTGCTGCTCATTATCGTCTCCAAATTGTTCTTTAATGACGATCTACATTTGAGATAGGGCTGATGACTTTAATGTTCTTGAGGTTGTGTGTGTGAGTCTGTGTTCGTTTGTGTGTGACGGAGGGAGTTTCCTCCAGCTCTGCAGATCTACAGGCATTTGTTCTCGTGTAATTAAAGTTTAATGTTGGTTGTCACACGCAGCAGCAGCAGCAGCAGCAGAGAAGTCAGAGTATGTGATTGAACAACATGCAGCCTTTTAGTTTCATAGCAATTTAATAAAGTTTTTGTTCTGTTTGTGGTTAAAATGTTATGAGCAGAGCCTAACTGGGTAGTTCTTGAATTCTTTTTAGCTAACTTTGAAATTATATAAATGTTTGTGGTTAAAATGTTATGAGCAGAGCTTAACTGGGTAGTTCTTGAATTAAAATACGTAGGCTTACAATAGTTACAATGTATTGTATGTTTGTTAGCAATGTTTTCGTAAAAAAGTGAATTCATTTCACTTGTTTGTTAGCAATGTTTTCGTAAAAAATAACATAATGACATAATTCAGAACTCAAGGCCAACTGTTGTACTGCCTACACAAGGTAATGATGTCCATTCTTCTTTTGAATGTGTCAACATTTGACAATTAACGCTTTTAATAAAAAAGACAATAAATAAGGCACTAAAAGACAGGCCAAAATTCAGGCTGATTTCTCTAACTACTTTAGAGTTTATCTTCTTTTTTGGAATTATTCAGGAGCTCAGCATCTAATGCCTAGCATCACTGCCACCTACTGGGCCTACCCCACCCTGGAGAATATTAAAACATGTTACACTTTTACTAGAATTTGTGTAGGGGTTTATTTTGCAGGCTTCTGTGCCACTAACGATCTCTCAATCATGGAAAGCCATCTGCTTGTTTTTATGGCGACCTCTGTTATCGCGATACGCGATTTTAATGTCTAATTCCCAGACAATGCAATCAGTTTCCTGACAAAGTGATGACGAAGACCGATGATGCTAACGCTGTTGCCTTACCCTAGTCTTTCTTTGCTCTCCTCTTGAGTTAGCTGGTCAAATGTCTTGGCCTCCTCTTTGCCCAGAAAGGCCTCATGATCGTACTGGAAGCTGTTATTGTCTTCCGGTGTCCTCTTGCTCAGCTCGGACTCTGGATGGAGGACTCTGTCTTTCCTTAGCATTGGTTTAGCCTGCACCGCAGCCGTGCACAGGAGCACGGCGCACAGCAAACCCAGTAGCTCCATCACAGAAAGCTGACTTCTCTCTAACAAGGGCCTAAATGATGATCCCAGGCACAACAACAACAGACTAAAGCGAGGATGGACCCGCTGTAACAATTCAAACCTGAATGACTCTGTGCCCCTGGCCGTCAAGAACGTAACGGTGCTGCACCAGCAGCTGCAGCATCCACAAATCTGCAAACCTGCACACGAGTCCAATCAAAGCCAGATTTCCCAAAAACGGATTTTGGCCAAACCCTGTTCCTCTGTTCCTGGGCTAGAGACCGGTCTGGGATTTCCTGCCGCCTTCCCTATGAGCAGCCAATCACAGAGTGTGTTTCAAAGGCGGCACGTCCTCTTGCCCTGATAGAGTTTCTGCCATTGGTTCACAGGATGTCGGGTAACAGGAGATGGACTCGGGCGCCACGTTGCAGCCATGGTTGCCATGTCCTTGTTTTTTAAGCGTTTTCATTGAGTTATTCTATACATTTGCTTTAAAATATAGATACAAACTGTAAAATTAAAATAGCCCCCTACAAACCAATATAACAGCAGAAACACTAAGGGTTCTACATACATTTAATGTTATACTGAACTTATATTAACAATACAAGATTTAGAAAATATAGGGTTTATTGTTTAGGCTAACTAACTGCTAACTGCTGTTAGTTGTCGTGTCTCCAACAGGAAGTTTGTCTGGTTGTGCCAATTAGTCTATATCTCTCTCCAAAACTGCCAAGCTAAGTTGAATTATAGACAAATAGATGGATGAATTTATAGACATATACAAACATAGAGACAAAATGCAAAAAATGTTGGCAAAAAATCATCAAATATTACAAAGGGGACAGTTATAAAGGGCTTCTAATTGAATCCAGCAGCAGATGTAGTATATTTATTTTAATTTTATTTTTACATTTGTGGCTCCTGAAAACAATTTTCAATAAATGCATAAAATAAATGCATTGATCTCTAGCCATTAACTTGCCTATCCACCCTTGCCACCTCGGTTTGTTTTGGGACACATGGTTGCTTGTTCCTACCACCAAATCTGGCAACACCGATTGCAGCCTGACGCGTGTACCGCTGGAGCTCAGACCGTAGGAGTGGGTCAGTGTGGAAGCAAAAAGTAGTGTTTAGAAGTCACAGTGGTGCTAAATTGCACACTTTTTTGTAGCTGCCGCTTTGGTGTCATCATCGTCGGACTTAGTCGACGCATGCGCTCACTCTGACCACTGTGTGTTAATGAAAGAAGCCTGTAGACACGTGTGCGTGCACAGCAGGAGTTCAAGTGTCATCAAGGGCCAAATTCCACAGAGTAAAAATATCCATGACAACTGGTCCTCCTGTGATTCGTGAGGCAACAACAATGGTTCATGATAATGGACTGCGTTATAACACACACACACCAGTGACTTGGTGCATTAAAAATTCAGATACTACTAAACTATTTACAAAATATGATCACAGATGGCCACAGTTGTAATCCACATGACACAGTTTAATGGTACAACACTCAAACAGTGATGATTTAATGCTTCAAAATGCTAATGCTAATAGAGTTGCTAACGGGCGTGTAACCTGTGCACCATCATTTGAATTTCAAACATTTTGGCAGAATATTTGGACATTTTCATTAGTCAGTTTGTCCAAAGTCTGCCTCTATTTGATGCCATATCCAATGGCTAAAAATTGGTTTTGCATCTTGATTTGTTCAATAAAAAGTTCTTTAATTATTCTTAACGATTCTACATTCTACAGTTATCCTGTTTGAAAATAAAGAGTTCTGGCTCGACTGTTCAGTTCCTGGTCCCTGTGGTGAAAACACACACGCTGTAGTTCCTGGAATTCTCCAACAGTTGTGGCGGTGGAAATGTGCCTACAGACATGGTGTGGGTGGGTTTAGAGGCATCACATTACTCAGATGTATCTGAACTGTAATGTGGAGGAACAGAGTCCGTTCCCTGGACACACGTAGCCGGCGCTGTCACGTCTAATCCTGCTTCTCACAGGGCAGCAGAACATGGATTTGGCCATTCACCATTAGCATAATAGGGCAGCACATGGCACTTTGCTGTTTTGCATAAACAGTACTCCCTAGTTTTCGATTGTGAAGCCACCCTAAGGCTAACTGGCTTCTTTATTCAATTAATGAACACTAAATGTATTTAAATTAGTCCCGCCTGGTCAGTTTGGATTAGTGTGGGGTTCAAACAAGAAGCAACTTAGGGGTTTTCCAAGAAGACAAATTATAATAATGTAAAAAAAATATAAACTGGAATAAATATGCTTGTTTGACTTTTAGCTTCAGTATTTTATCTTTATTTCTGGCAAATACTGTGCAACCATTGGCTAATTAGCAATGATGCTAGCTATTGTTAACCATCTATTATGGTCCTAACAATTTAACTTTATGATGTAATTTAGCTATTTTTGATTCAATTTTTTTATTTGTTTAAAAGATAGAATATACAGTAGCTGTTAGCAGCTATTGCTAGGAATATGGCTTATTGTCGGCTGTTAGAAGTTACCTTCTATTGATTATTTAGGTTAATTTTAGCCATTTATGCTACTTTAGTTTTTGACAATTTCAGGCTACATTTTTGACCCTTATAACAATCCAGATTATTTCTTAATCCTCTGCTGATTTTATAGGCTTAAATTTAATGGTTTGAAGCCAATGATTGGCCATTTGTAGGAACTTTTGTGCTATATTTAACACAAGATAGCATTGATAGCTATTAGTGCTTTCAATTACAACTTCTATCTATCTACGTATCTCTGATACCATTATGTGAATTTCAAGGGAAATACTTGGAAACTATATTCCAGATTATTTTAACCTTTGTTAATTAATTACCAAAGTCAATTTTAATTTTTTTAAATGACCTTTATGAAATCTGTAGTCTTTGGAGATGTTCCTTTTTATTGACATATGCTACCATCACACTGTAGGTTAAAAAAACACACAATTATTATCATATATGTTTCCAGTTCTTTTAGGGTTTATAATTTAGCGTTTAAGCTTTCTGGAAAAAAAAATCAGAATTAATTTTCATCTATGGCTCCATGGATGAACAACTGCAGGCATTAGCGTGCTGGGGTGAGGCGGGAGATGGAAGCAGTGGCTTTCACCATGAATATTTCAATGTGGAATAGAAGAGGAGGAAGGAGGTGGGAGAGGAGGGGGCGGTGCTACAGAAGAGTTCATTTAACCATGAGATTACACACCCTGCACAATGCATCTGGTTAATGTAATTAAGAAAACCCTATGGTGGGAGACACGCAGCATTAGTGTCCGGGACGTTCAGTGTCTGCGGCCTCTTTATGTGTGTTTTATTGGGTAATTTCTGCCCTCACAAAATTACTTCTGAGTGGTGTCAGCCATTAATAGAAATCAAATTACCAGATATTTTAATATTAGCCTCACAAGTTAATTATTTTATGAGCAATCCCTCCTTTCTCTGAGAGCCAAGAAACTGGGAATCAAATCATAAAACAGTTCTGCACCGAAGCATCGGTTCCAAAACCTACATGTTCTAAAAGCTGATTTATACTTTACCCATGGGTTGCTAAAGGTATACCAAATATAAATATATACTAAAACTGCTAAAGGTTAGCCACAAATGAAACTAAAAGCTAACAATATGGCTACACATCGACTGAGAAATACCTTAATATAGACAAAATTAACTTAACAACAGATAGAAGTTCGCCAAGAGATAGCTTCAAGTAAATCGAGATGATTGCTAAAGGTTAGCCAAAGAAGTCAGTAACAAAAGTAGGAAAAAGTAAAGAAGGTTAAATATTTAGATTATTTGCTGAAAAAGATCAAAACAAGAGCTGAGTAAATTCCTACCAAAGATCATCTCTCTGCAGGAAAAATAATCTACAGTTGTAGTAACTTTTTGACTTATCAAAGGCTAAAGGTTTTCTTTTGTAATTTGCTGCAGATGTATATTTCCTTCAGTACTTTAAACTTCATTTACAGCAGTTTTCTCTGTTCACACTGGAACCCATCTATTGTGGCTCTCAATATTTTCTTGTTCTGTTTGTAATAAATGGGATTTTCCTTGTGTACTGTGAGCTTTTTAAGTCGAATGAGGTGAATTATTGATTCCGCTGAACAATAACTACAAAAATAGCGTCTCTCATTACTCCATTACTCTCTCCCCCGTCTCCCTCCTCTCCCCCTGCTGCTGGGTTTTCATGGTTGCAATAACTCAGCGACTCCACTATTCTGCAGAGATTAATAAACTTCTCATCACTGCCACGTAGGAGAAAAGAAACCTTTGCTCTGTTTAATGACAACTGTAAAGTGGAGGCAATCATGGGATGCCTCCCATGACATTTCCCCCGTTCCTGTCCGCTCCACTTATCTCAGACAAATGGCCATGCCAGGCCGCTATCGAGATGAAGCGTTTTCCTCGAGTCATTACGTCTGTCAGCGAGGCCATTTCCATATTGAAAAATCTGAAACAATAAACGACGCCGGGGCCTTTAATAACTGTGAAGGAATCATATTTGGGAAATTGCATTGAAGCAATAACCTTTTCTCCCTGTAATTAGATGACAGAGAGGTCCTGGTTTTTAATTAAGTCAGCAATTTATAGTGGCGCAGCCATACCTCAGCGTGCTGATTAGTATAGGAAGGATCACGGAGCAGCGTCGCCTCCATTTGAACAGATTTGATCTGGTAATTACGGTGTTATATGGCAAAAGGCTGCAGCAAAAGTCCCAGACTTTGTTGATGCTCTGCTCCGTGAAGCATGGCCGCTCGCCGTCGTTACTGGAGCTGCAAATATGCGGCGAGCAAGTGTCTGTCTGAATAGGTCTTCAAAGGGGGTCATCAACAGAGGACATAATGTTTGAGGAGGCATATTAAGGTGGAATTGTGCGAATGTGTGTGTCCGTGTGTGTTTTGGAACGGCATCATTTTTTTTTCTTTTTTTTTTTCTTTTTACGCCGTGCCTTAATTGATCCACTTGGTCACTGTTAAACGTTAACATTTTCCACACAGAACAGTTAAGGCTGCTGTTTTAGTGCCGTGTTAATAAACACGGCAATTCGCTGCCAATTTATGTCCTGACAGGTCGTAATGAAAAGCATGAAAAGAAGATTAGCTGGAGCTGTTAGGGGACAGACTGTCTGGGGACCGTCATCATGAGACTGGAGGGAACGGAGCTGGCCGCGGGTGTCGGTGCGCGGGGAAACCCTCTGGCCCTCCGCGGCGGCTGCTGCTCTTCGTGAGACTGACATTTATGGTGGGGGTTTAGGGGAGAAAATTGTACATTTGTGTTGTGTCTTTTGGGACTTTGACATTTGT